TGTGGGTTTGTTTACAAGACTGCTAACACAATAAAAGATTTAGGGAGATGGAAATACAAAGTGGTTAGACATCAAAATCTTGTTTTTGTAAAAAAGCTCTTTATTACGATTGTGTGTGTGTGTGGGGGGGGGGAGCAGTGTCAACCACACAGAGAGCCAGTGTTGTATACTGGTTAGAGTGATTGCCTGGGGACCTGGGAGATCTAGTTTCTAGATCAGATGGATTAGTCCATGTCTGGGCATATTTCCTTTTCAGCACTATAGAGCACCTAAGGTTAAACATGCATAAAATCAACATGACATCTGTTAATGTTTCATAGATGTCAGACCCTACTAATGTATTCCTTATTATTTCTGTTTTCTTTTTGCAACAGCTAAATTAATATCTGTGTATATTGAAAAAAGAATTAGTTTGCACACCAAGGAATTTCCTTATTGAGTACTTTCAGCACCAGAGGAAATAGGTGTATGGTTAGATGAAATAGCTATATGGTTGGTAGGAAAACCATAGTAGTTTCATCCAGAAAGAAACAAACTTCATTTTTTATTTTTATTTTTCTGCTTTGTGGTACTTTTCTGATGTGGTAATTTTAGTTTTTCATATGGTATTTCTTTCACAGTAACTGTTTCCTGTATGAAAATGTGGTGGTAAAAGCACAGTGTGAGAACCTAGCCACTTCTGAAATAAACATGTTAGTTGGCTCTTTTATGACCTGTAGCTTTATTCATAATCTGTTATAACATGGTGATTGCTTTTCTTCTTGAAAGGATTTGAAAAGGTGCTTAGTAAGATGTTGGATTGGCCTAGGCCAGTTGTGCTTAATTCCAGGTGAAATCTACAGGGCTAACTTGTCACACTGGATTCCTACAAAACAAGCTAAATTTAAACTGCTGTTTCTGTAATCTTGTAAAAGGTTTGTATTTATTCTTTCCATAGATACAACCATTCCCTTTAATAGTGAACTTGAGTGATGAGTGCTTGTCAGTTTGAAACTGAAATAGGACTACACAAAAATAAGAGATTTAGTCAGACTCCAAAACACACCATGAATGAAGACATATATTCATTTTTAAATTAAATTATTCATTTTCAGTAACAACAACCATGAAGAAGTTATTGATTGTGGGTAAAGCTGAGTTAAAGAAGAAAGTGAGGCTCTGAAGTCTAGCAGTGGACCCCAAAATTCTGTGGGTAGAGTTCTACAGATGAAATGCAATGGGCAGGGAAGATGTTGTTCCTCTTCTTCTGCAGCACTTTCCAGAGGATTGAAAGAAAATGTTTAGGGGCTTATGAGGCAACAATGAATTAGTAAAAAGCACCCGACTCCTTTCTGTCATTTACTATTTTTAGTTACTTAATTAGGATATTATAAAAAGGCCATCTAGAAAATCTCTTAGTTTTTCAATAAATTTGGGAAATAATATCTTATCTTTAGGCGTGCTCAGTGAATAAGGAAAGCAGTAATTTAAAATAAAACTATGAAACATTATTGCTTCCTATTCGCTAGTGTAAAAAAGCATTCCAACTTTAGCAATATGCAGTGCTATATTAATTACAGTGCATATATTTGTTGTCAAAGTTAAACTTCATCTCCAGTAAGCCTTAAAAAATAGCTCTCACTTCTTTTTCTTTTAAATCAACACTACCCCAAAGACAGATTACAAGTAATATGTATTGTTAAAGCAACATGCAAAAAGCATAGAATGTATCGGGTGGCCAGCTTTGCTCAATGGAAGAGCCACATATAGAAAAATTCAAATGTTTGAGAGCTGCAAGACATAAATATTTATTATTAACAAACAGGCAATGCTACAATTATCAGGCTAGTTACTGCTAGTAGAGGTCTTGTGAGTCTCCATCTTGGCTGTGAATTGTGAAAATTTCAGACAAAATTGCAACATTGCTGATGAATCAATTAGCATGTCCCCTTCATGGATCACTGCCTTGTTGCAGCAAAGGGGCTTGTGTAGCTCAATGAAGCTTTGAGCTATGCTGTGCAGGGGCACCCAAGACAGACGGGTCATAGCAGAGAGCTCTGACAATACATGATCCACTGGAGAAGGAAATGGCAACCCACTCCAGTATCCTTGCCATGAAAACACCATGGACAGTACCAAAAGGCAAAAAGATATGACACCGGAAGATGAGCCCCTCAGGTCAGGTGTCCAATGTGCTGCTGTGGAAATGCAGAGGGCTAGTTCTAGTAGCACTAGAAAGAATGAAGTGACTGGGTCAAAACCAAAAGGACACTTAGTTGCGGATGTATCTGGTGGTGAAACGAGAGTCCGATGCTGTAAAAATCTATACTCCATAGAAACCTGGAATGTAAGATCCATGAAACAAGGCAAGCTGGACGTGGTCAAATGAGATGACAGGACTGAACATCAACATCTTAGGAATCAGTGAACTAAAATGGACAGGAATAGGTAAATTTAATTTGGATGACCATCAGGTATACTACTGTGGGCAAGAATCCCTCAGAAGAAATGGAAAAGCCTTCATAGTCAATAAAAGAGTAGGAAAAGCAGTACTGGAACACAATCTCCAAAATGACAGAATGATCTCAGTTCGAATCCAAGGCAAACCATTCCACATCATAGTAGTCTATGCCCCAACCACTGGTGCTGAAGAGGCTAAAGTTGACCTGTTCTATGAAGGTCTACAACACCTTCTAGAATTAACACCAAAAAATGATGTCCTTATCATCATGGGGGATTGGAATGCTAAAGTAGGAAGCCAAAAGATAACTGGAATAACAGGCAAGTTTGGCCTTGGAGTACAAAATGAAGCAGGGCACAGGCTGGTAGAATTTTGTCAAGAGACTACAATGGTCATAGCAAACACTCTTTTCCAACAACCCAAGAGATGACTATACACATGGGCATCACCAGACAGTCAACACAGAAATCAGATTGACTATGTGCACTGCCCAAGAGGTGACATATAGATTTAAGGAATTAGATCTGATGGACAGAGTGCCTGAAGAACTATGGATGGAAGTTCACAACATTGTGCAAGAGGTAGCAAGTAAAACCATCCCAAAGAAAAAGAAATGCAAGAAAGCAAAATGGCTGTCTGAGGAGGTTTTACAAATAGCTGAGGAAAGAAGGGAAGCGAAAGGCAAGTGAGAAAAAGAAAGATACACCCAATTGAATGCAGAATTCCAGAGAATAGCTAGAAGAGATAAGAATGCCTTCTTCAATGAACAGTACAAAGAAATAAGAGAAAACAATAGAATAGGGAGGACCAGAGATCTCTTCAAAAAAAGTTGGAGATATGAAGGGAACATTTCATGCAAAGATAGGCATGATAAAAGAACAAAATGGCAGAGACCCAACAGAGGCAGAACAAATTAAGAAGAGGTGGCAAGACTACACAGAAGAACTATACAAGAAAGAGCTTAACGTCCCTGATAACCACGATGGGGTGGTCACTGACCTTGAGCCAGACTGCCTGGAATGTGAAGTCAAATGGGTCTTAGGAAGTCTGAGCAACAACAAAACTAGTGGAGGTGACAGTATTCCAGCTGAGCTATTCAAAATCCTAAAAGACGATGCAGTAAAAGTGCTACATTCAATATGCCCTCAAATTTGGAAAACTCAGCAGTGGCCACAGGATTGGAAAAGGTCAGTTTACATTCCAATCCCAAAGAAGGGCAATGCCGAAGAATGTTCAAACTACCGCACCATTGCACTCATTTCACATACTAGCAAAGTTATGCTCAAAATCCTACAAGCTAGGCTCCAGCAGTATATGGACCGAGAACTACCAGAAGTACAGGCAGGATTTCGAAGAGGGAGAGGTACTAGAGATCAAATTGCCAACATACACTGGATCATGGAGAAAGCTAGGGAGTTCCAGAAAAACATCCACTTCTGCTTCATTGACTATGCTAAAGCCTTTGATTGTGTGGATCACAACAAATTGTGGCAAGTCCTTAAAGAGATGGGAGTACAGACCATCTTATTTGTCTTTTGAGAAACCTGTATGTGGGTCAAGAAGCAACAGTGAGAACTGGACACGGAACCACTGATTGGTTCAAAATTGAGTTAGGAATTCGACAAGACTGTATACTGTTGCCCTGCCTTATATGCAAAGCACATCATGAGAAAGGTGGGGCTGGATGAATCACCAGTTGGAATTAAGATTGCCAGGAGAAATAACAACCTCAGATATGCAGATGATACCACTCTGTTGGCAGAAAGTGAAGAGGAACTAAAGAGCCTCTTGATGTGGGTGAAGGAAGAGAGTGCAAAAGTTGGCTTGAAACTCAACATTAAGAAAACTAAGCTCATGGCATCCAGTCCTCTCATTTCCTGGCAAATAGATGGGGAAGAAATGGAGGTAGTGACTGATTTTATTTTCCTGGGCTCCAAGATCACCGCAGATGTGGACTGCAGCCAAGAAATTAAAAGATGCTTGCTCCTGGGGAGGAAAGCTATGGCAAATCTAGACAGCATACTAAAAAGCAGAGACATCGCTGTGCCAACAAAGTGCATATAGTCAAGGCTATGGTTTTCCCAGTTGCAATGTATGGCTGTGAAAGTTGGACCATAAGGAAGGCTGAGCGCTGAAGAATTGAGGCCTTTGAATTGTGGTATTGGAGGAGACTCCTGCGAGTCCCTTGGACTCCAAGGTGATCAAACCAGTCAATCTTAAAGGAGATCAACCCTGACTGCTCTTTAGAAGGCCAGATGAAACTGAAATACTTTGGCCACCTAATGAGAAGGAAGGACTCCCTGGAGAACAAATGAGCATACTGTACATACTATAGCAATTGTGATATTTACTTTGCCTTGTGACTCACAACACTCTAAGTAGAGAAACCTGGAATGTCGTGTTGTCTCAGTATAAGCTAGATGATTCTATGTGGGTGGGAAACTTGACTCTAAGTGGCTGTTTTCTGCAGCAACTACGTATTTTCCATAATGTCTTGTTTGTCCTGGTGTTCCTTACAAAGCTACCAAGTTGATAATGGAATATTTTCCTGTTTTCTTAGCAAACTTGACAGGCCATTTAGAGAAGGTTGGCATTGAGAACTTTGAACTCCTGAAAGTTCTTGGAACAGGAGGTAAGAACTGATTTTCTTTACTAACAAAATATGCACTATATTATACAGTTAGATTTGTTGCGGTTTGGTGCACTGGTAATGTTGAACATTTGGAAGTTAAACTACTTTGAAATGCTTACGTTTTCAGAGCCTGGGTGTAATTAATGAAATATAACCAGATACTGTAGGATAACCATGTGTGTTAGAACAGACTTCATACCACTTATTCTCAGGAAAAGACAATCTTATGGGATATAGATTGTGTAGACAGAGCCTGTGCAATCTGCACACAACAAATGTTTCATTTGAGATTTATACTGTTTTCAGTGGAGGTTTTTATTCTACAGTTATCTTGGCTCATTACACTAGTAGGTTCCCTTAGGAGGTTGCCCCACCCCCTCTTCCAGCCTGAGTCCCTCAGTCTGCAACATTTGACTATAATATTGACTTAACTTACACGCAGGATGAGGAACCTCTGGTATGTGGGCCAGGCTAACCTTCCAGCTCAGTCCATCAGCCCTGTCAATCCTTGAGTAAGGCTCCATCACCTATCTGAAATCCCTTCCTTGGCTACCAGCCACTCGAGGAGGAGAAAGTTTCATGGTAGCCAAAGCCTATGACAGCTTTCCTCCATCTGGAGGGATCTGATGGGCAGTGTAACTGGTCTTCTGGTGAAATGCTGGATGGAGAAGCAATCCTTCATCCAATGCTTTGATCTAGGAGGTGTTGCATGAAGTTGTGCACTTGGTCTGTGCTTCTAGGGCTCATCTGAAGGGGTCATTTGGCTCCTGCAAGTGATGACTAAATATGCCTTGCTTGTCTTTCCTGACTACAAGAAAAATTTACAGTGTGTTCTATTCTTCTAGCAGGAGTGTTCCTATGCTAGATTCTAACCAGTTCCTCCTCCAGGATACGGCATTTCATTCCTTCCTTGCTTTCCTTTTTTTTCTTTTCCAAATTTCACTCAGTACTCTATGGCCACTGATTTTGCTGGCAGATCTGCTTGTTTATTTTTTCCTTTTTTATGGGTACCTGCGCCAACCTGTGTTCCCCTAAGCATGCTCATACCATGCTTGTTTCTTGTTTCTCAGCTCCCGTTTTCTGTTACTTTGATTCATCTGAGTTTACTACTAGAAGGTGTGATGGTTTATGTTTGTTGATTTGGCAGAACCTTAAATCGCATTGCTTCCAATAATATGTAGTAATTTATTTCAGACAAAAATATGAAACAATGACATTGAGACCAGACATTTTTCTCATTACTTTTCCATCATTGTTGTCTTAGAAATAATTATCTATTTTATTTTTATGCTGCCCAATAGCCAAAGCTTTCAGGGAAGTATAGTAAAATACTATATAAAATATAACAATAAAGACATAGCAAGATTTCACTGAATATTTAAAGTCAAATTTTAAATGGCTTAAACAGCTAAGATAACTTCATACAACTGGGCCTGTTAAAACACCCTGCATTTTGCCCTGTCCCATGTGCTAAACCCATAAAACAGAAAAGACCTGTTAAGCAGTTAGAGCTGTTAACTGCCTTGTGACAGAGGACAGCCTTAACCTGGTACCAAAGGGATAATAGGCTCAGTGCCAGCTGGTCCTCAATGGGGAGCTTTCATTGAGAACTCCCTCCTCCTTGTTGTCACCAACCAAGTCTCCCTTAGGAGTGGCAGTTGGAAGCAGACCCTGGATGTTGACTGCAGCTGGGAGAGGTATTCTATATCAAGTATAGTGGTCTTAAGCTGTGTAGGGCTTTACAGGTTAAAAGCAACCCCTTGAGTTGGGCGTGGAAGCATAATAGGTATTCAATGTTTTCCTGGTCTGTGACTGTAATAAATGAAGGAATGAAAGGTAGCCAATGCAAGTGGGATGAAACTGGTGTTATATGTTGAACTGTCTGCTCTTGGTTACTAGTCTAGGTCCTGCATTTTGCACAAGTTACAGCTTCTGAACAATCTTCAAGGGCATCCCAACTGAGTGCAATGCAGTATTTTAGAGATCAGTAGAACATAGATTACTGAAACCAGGCTATCTCTGTCCATAGATAAGGCATAGCTAGGGCACCAGCTGAAGCTGATGGAAGACATTCTGTGCCACTGAGGCCACCTGATCCTCAAGTGACAAAGATGATTCAAAGAAGACCCCCAAGCTAAGTTTTTAAGACAGTAGAGTGTGAGTGTTGGGAATGGATGAGACAGTTATTGTTAATGAGGATGGCAGAGACCGGGAGATGGGGGTGTGGGTATTGTGGGGACAGAGGAAAGTGGGGCTGTCTCAAGATTCCTGCCCCCAGATTCTCAGATAAACCACTGGAATATGTAGGGCTTTGAAGAGAAGGGTGTGGGCAAAGGAAAGGTGGGAGATAAGCCCTTGTCCTGCCCAGTCCCTGACCTCATGAAGTAGTATTGGGATAGAAGAGTTCCTCAGTCAGAGGCCCTGCTAAGATCTTGATAGCTGGCCCTTTTAAAGAGGAACCTACCCAGAGGGGTGGAGCCCAGTGTTCCTGAAAAGGAGGATTCTCAGAAGTAGTTTCTCATTTGAGGTCAACTAACCACTCTGTTCATGCTCAGAAACTAGTCTTTCTGTTGTTGTAGCTTGCTAGCTTTGCTTTGAAAATAAAGAGCTATTTTTGCAAAGAGAGTATCTGTGGTTTTGAACACTTGACACAAATAAGGGAAAATCTAGCTTTCAACAGGTAGAGAGGGGAAAGGGCAAGTGGATAGCAGCAGTATTACAAACCATCAACATTATATAGCATCCCAGTCCTAAGAACCCAGACTCCTTTTTGCACCATTGGAATAAACAATAAAGCTAGCCTTATGCTAAGAGTTACATAACACAGGTCCCATTGCTATGAAGGATTTGGTCAGGGTGTTTTACCTCATACCAGATCAGGATCTAGCAGAAGACAAAAGACTCTTCCAAGTCAGGGTTTTTAGCCCCATTCTCCTGGCAGTATTCTACCAGATGTCCTTGGGTCCATCTTCTGTGATAAGCCTGGGAGCATAGATCACTGCTCCCTGATAGTTGGAGCAAACCCTAAACCATTAACTCTTCCCTACCTCAAAGACCTTTGCTATACTCCCAGCCCAGATAGCCACCTCAGTGGGATACCATTGTTGATGTTCTTGAAAGCCACCAAGGGGTCTAGGAGTATTAGCAGGACCACACTCTCCTCACCCAAGTCATCATACTGGACAAGCAAAGCTGTCATATGCAAAATCTGGACTGAACTGTGACTGAAATGGATCCCAATAATCTATCTCATCCAAAAGCATCTGGAGTTTGCCAACCACCACACACTCCACAAAGTCTTCTCTTGGCCAGGACAGCTTGCTGGGTAGCAAAGAAAAGGCTAAGACTAAATAAATATTATTTCTTTGTCACCTTCCATCATGAAATATACCAGACCATAGACCCATATCAGGGCTGAATCGCACCTCCTAGGCACTTTTCTCCATTTGCCCTGAAGCTGTCTCCTACCTAGTTTCATACTCTTAGGTAGGAGGGTACCATGGAACAATTTAAACTCTGCTACTCTATGCTCTACTCAATTATGTTGTTAGCTTTCTGAGTCATTTCTGTATTCCAGACATCAACCAGCAATTTATCAGAACCACCAGCCATATCAGCTGGAAGCACACAAAGGATCTTTTGGAAATTATTTGGAGTTACTAACCTCTGGGGATGAACCATCTGAATAGATCCCCTTTTCTTGCAAAGGGGAAAAGTTGCTGTTAGTCTAAATCTGGGCACTTTGCTTAATTATCAAGTTGGAAATGTGATTAGAATACTAGGATTTCCAGTTGCTCATATTAATATATTTTAATCTGTTGCAAAACTTTTGGTTTTAGCTTATGGAAAGGTATTTCTGGTGAGGAAAATAAGTGGCCATGATGCTGGCAAATTATATGCCATGAAGGTATTGAAAAAGGCAACAATAATTCAAAAAGCCAAAACAACAGAGCATACCAAGACAGAACGTCAAGTACTAGAACACATTCGACAATCTCCATTTTTGGTCACTTTGCATTATGCTTTCCAGACAGACACAAAGCTTCATCTCATTCTAGGTAAGATCCTTTCAAAAAGGGGTGGGCTGTCTTCATTGAACTGAATGAACAAATAAACCCAGATCTTAAAGAGTACCGTCTACAAATGTGATTGAAGCAGATTGTACATCTTGCCAAACAATTACTATGTACAATTGTGTTTCATATTCCAGTCTGTGCTGTAAGTCCATGAGAAACAAAAAAAAGAAATCAGTTGAACATATTTGCTTCATTTTGGAAACTTTTAAATTTCGTATTGACTGGGTTTGTTTGACACAGCAACCCTTCATAGGTAAGTAGCCATGGTGGGTTGTTGTGCTGTGCAAACCTCAACTGTTTCCTGCAGGTTGGCTTGTTCCAACACATGGCTTGTTGGAACAACCCTTTACTTGTTCCAGGGGCTGTTGGACCAAGATGGGTTTGTGTATCACCCAAACCTGACATATCAATTCTATTCTGTGTCCAGGGAAGTGGTGAGTGAGCCACTTGGCAAGAACAGCAGAAATCCCTTTCTGTTTGTGTTGAGCTTGCCTGGGCTAGTAGTGGACACTCCACGAAGTATCCAAGTGGCCCTTTGGCGTGACTGTCACTGGCTTTCCCTCTCCCCCTCCAGTTGTGATTGCCTCTTTGTGGTTGCTAGGGCTAAGAGCCAGTGTGGTGTAGTGCTTAAGATCACAGGAATGGCTCTCAGGTGATCTGTGTTCTAGTCCCCACTCAACCATGGAGCCTGCTGGGTGATTTTGGGTCAGTGACAGACTCTCAGCCCAACCTACCTCTCAGGTTGTTGCTTTGGGATAAGATTGAGAGCAGGAAGAAAAGAATTGTGTAAGCCTCTTTGAGTTCTTTATAAATATAGGATACATATCTAATGAATAAATAAACATTTTCTCCCTTTCTGCTTTATTTCCATAGAGGTTGCTTTTAGTAATCTCTGAAATAACATCCAATGACAGCCCCTTCAAAGTATCCGAGCAGCAAAGAAGGCTGACCATCACCATCTTACGTTGCCACCTTCTTATTTTTCATGGCTGAATGTATCCCTGTCAAAAGACACTGTTTAGCTTTGTCAAAAATCAAACATAAAAACATCTAGTTTTCAAAGTATATTGAGTATATTTGAGTGTATTACTCTTTTCAATTATTTGAAACCAAGTCATGCTAGAAAACGCAGACAGTGAAGTTCTATGCATGTGACAAATCCAGATAATTTTGCAGACCAACAAATCAGCATTAGGATTGGAAATAAGAAAGGAGACAGAGCAATAAGATCTGAGTTTATATTAAACAGAAACAGAGCACAGTTACAATGGATTATATAAGACAGCCTGCTCATTATTGTTCTGAGGGCATTTATAAGTACTTTCTGACAATCAGAAGGAAGTATGTGTTGAAATTTTATTTATGTCCTCTACCAGTCCCAACTATGTGGCTACTTATGTGCACCTGCATTTAGTGCTGGTATACCACAGTTCAGGTATAACAAGTATTAATAATGCTGGGCAAGGCTGAAATCCTCTTCTTCTTAACTATGTAACTTGTGAGTTTCTGTTTCCAGTTTGTTGCTACATCTTGCAACTACAGTATGTAACCATCTGTTAAGGTTTGGCAACAGGTTACACATAAACTGAACTGCAAAAGCTCCACTTTTTTACAGGCAAAGCTGTTTTGATATGAGTGAGTTGATTAGCCTTTATGACACTCTGTTTGTTAGCTCTACAGTCTCATTTTCATCCAAATGCTGACCTGAATTAATGCACAGTTGGACTTCCATGGGTGAAGGAAGGTGCCAGGGAGATTTTGAATGGCAAAGTGCCATCCAGAGAAAGTAACACCTATGCTTCTAACTTAATATTGCTTCTTTTCAAAGCAGTTTTTCTTTAGGGGAGGCCATCAGGGCCACTTAAACACATTTTTGTTTAGCATAGTATGTTTTCAACTGAGGAGGACCATACTTGACCATAATTATAAATTTTTAACTATTAATATATGGATGATACTACATTCTAATTTAAAAATAATAATTTGAAGCTACTGTAAACAACTCAATTTTCTGTGTCTTAGATTACATAAATGGAGGAGAACTCTTTACTCATCTTTCACAAAGAGAGAGATTCACAGAAGATGAAGTACGGATATACATTGGTGAGATTGTATTAGCACTTGAACACCTACACAAGGTAAAAACATATTTTCTACTTTCCTAAGAGATTCCACTATATTTCACAGTATGGAGAGACATGGGATTTCAATTTTAATTATATAAACATTAACTATAACATTCATTTCCAATGTGGTGGAGTATGGAGGAGGCCTGTATATGTATGTAAGAAGACTCTGTATTGTATTTGCATTTTCTTCAAAACGCATTTTGGATTTGGATGAACTGTCATAATCAATCTGTTCTTAAGTCATTGTTTTTTAATGTAAATGATAACTCTAGTTTAGACTTCTAGCCATTTTAGGTTCATCTTTTACTTTATATGTGAAATGTATAGGTTTAGGAACAAGTACCATTCCTTCATATTTATAATAGACTTCAATTTGAATTTAACAGTTATAGTTTCAAGATACTGTTACATGACTGTCTATGACAATATGAATATGCTTAATATTATATAATTAATATTTTTCCTAGTTGGGAATTATCTATCGTGACATAAAGCTTGAGAATATTCTTCTTGATTCTGATGGTCATGTGGTGCTGACTGATTTTGGCTTGAGTAAGGAATTTGTTAGTGATGAAGTGAGTATCTTAATATCATCTCATTGCATAAAATAGAACCAGAAAATGGTACTTAACCTGTATTTAATGTCCTGCAACTCTTGAGCTACAGATGGAGAAATTGCAAACTGGATTATAAGCATTTAGTGACATTTGTTGCAAGTAGGCATATCATGAGCAGAGCTGGCTGGAGCTGGGGGTAAGACTAGATGGCCAGAGAGGCCCTTCTGACTCGCTCTGCTTCTGTGTTTTCTTATCTTTTTAATGTCTTCATTTATTTAATTTTTATACTGCCTGATGGCCAAGGCTGTCTGGGCAGTTAACAAAAGCATAAGCAATTGCTTGACTCTATATAAAAACTTTGCTAGCCTCCTCTCAGTGCCACAAGAATCAGGAGTATTTCATTTTTTAAAAAAAATTGTCATGAAGCTTAGCAAAGGTAAACACCTTGTCATTAAGGAATGGAAAATTAAAGCATATGTTTTGGGACTGAGACAAATCTGGAAATTGCAACTCCAAACAGACAGGGGCATGGTCTGAAATTACCAACATTGTAATCTTTCAAGCTTTAATTTGATTTATTAAATATCTAGAAACCCCCCCAAAAATCTAACTGAAATCTATTCTGATGGACTGGTGAAATAAATGTATAGTTACACTCATTAGGATTCAAAATCTTTCAGCATCAGTGAAACCAAATTAAGATATATAAAACTGAAAAGTAAGCCTTGCTGCTAATTGTTACTCGGGAAGCAGTGTATTCTGGTTTGACATAGGAGCTAAAATTCCATTAAAGTCCCCTCCACACCTGGAACTTTCTACCATATGTGGTGTACTTGTGAAACAGTTAAAAGATTTTGGAAACTGATACATGGGGAAATACAAAATAAAACTAAGTTTCCTATGAGTCCTAGGAGTATGCTTTTGAATATACTGCCAGAGAATTGTATGTCAGAGTTATTTAAATATATGACAACTGCAGCAACAATTACAATTGCTTCTAAATGGAAATCACCTGAACCCTCCATAACTGAAGAATGGAAAAATAAGCTGGTAGACTATGCAGTGATGGCAAAATAAATTATGTAAATAGAAGACTGTTAGAAGAATTTAATGACAATTGGAAATTCTATTATACCCAGTACAATTTATGCGATGTAAAAGGGAGTTCTTTAAAAAGCATCAAGGAGTCATAATTGATTTAAAGTGATTGGAAAATTTGTTGGTGTACAGAATAATAACCCCCCCTTTTTTGAACTTCCATAGAGTGCTGAATAACACAAAGATAGATATTTTTGGTCTTTTTGAAATTCGTGGGCTTGAATATAGTGGTTGTACTTGTTCAAAATTCCTTGGAAACTTTATTCTATTCTATTCTATTCCATTCTTTTATACTTTCTGCCTTCTCTATTCTGTTTATGTTAAGAAAATAATAAAAAAATAACAAAAAGTCTCCCCACACAAAGTCAAGCAATCATAGGAAATCTCAACCAGTCTACTAAAATAATAATGAAGCCTATGCCAGAAACCATTATTTGTTCCATTCAGGTTAATCATGTTGATAACTTTGGTAATGCATTTCCCATCTAAAAGCAAAGAGTAAAATCTGGATCAGGTATCACCTGTTGAACTAAAAAAGATTTATGGATTAAATTGCAACCCACATGAACCTTGTTGATCTGTTACATAAACTTCCCCAATACTGTCTTGTCTCAGCAAATGTTATCAAGTTTCATCACTTTTTTTTTTGAAAAAACAGCAAAGTAGCACCAACATTAAAAACTTCTAACTTGGAAAGCACTTTCTTCTGCCTGTTTAAATTCCTTAGCCCCTTGAAGTCTGGGAAATTTTGAAAACAAAATGATATATTTATAGCCCCTCCCTTGCATAGATCATGTCTATTTTATACACGTTTCCTGCACTAGAACAACACATCATATAATCATTATATTTTTCAGTTGAGAAAGATTGAAACAAAATTTTAATTTTTAAAAATGAGAATGCAAATACATGAAATATATCCCATGTCCCACCCCAAAGATCTTCAATTCTCCAATTCTCCAACCCAAAAATCTGGACTAAACAGAAACAAAAAATCTAGAAAATATGCCTTCAAACTTGTGCATTGGCCTAATCATCTTCAGTTCATCCTGATCCTCAAAAGCAAAGAAACAAAACTGCAAAAGGTGATTTTGAAAATCAATTTTAAATGATAGTTTTAACTGTGTTAATTTCATTATCTGTTTTTATCTATTTATAAGGCACAGATTAATTGTTAACTGAGGCCTATATTGAATCGTTGTGGAGAATATATAAAATGATAAAAAATTAAAAGCATATAGCAATGACAATATGTCAGAATGAGAAAACTGGAAAGCGTTAAAACAAAAGGAAAGCCTTTCCTTTTCCTCTCTTCTCTTCTTTTGGATAAAAAATAGCCAAACACTGAGAACTATGTCTTACAAAGCATGTAAACATAGAGGAAAACCAAACAAACTTCTTAAATAGGTCTTTGTTGTGGAAGAATTGAACAGTTTGAGTTTATAGTTATGGCAGAGATAAATGACCCCACTGCCTCAGGACTCTGGACCTTCTTTACTTGAGCTTGGTAGCGCAGAAAATATCCAGATATGTGATGTATTATCTCTCTAGCTGCTCTTACAGAAATTGTTTTGTAAACTATTATTGCAAATCAAAACCCTCTTTAGACAAGATACAATACATTGTTGGTACTGAGTCCCTGCAAAGCTCCAACTATTCCCTGGCTTTATGAAGCCTAATATTCTTTAGTGGAGGCTTATAAAAACTGAAGAATAACAGGGCCCCTCCTGGACCCACAAGTGGACCCACAAGCATTCTAAGCACATTTGATTTCAAACTGCAAACCTTGAGAGAGTACCAGTAACTCAGGGAATGTGCCCATGAGCTCAGCCATGGTACCCTGTGTAAGTTCTTCCCTCAGAACAAATATTTTTGCAAATTAAGATCTCAGAGAGAAAGCTTGGAACTGAGAATTATGTGAGGATAACCTTACAAGATGCTGCCATTGGTTTTTCATGATTTTTCATATGGCCTTCAAGAGTGTTGAGTTTTGAAATCCATCGCTTTGTGATGATAATCAAGTGACTCAACAAAATCCTGAAGATTTTTAATAGATTCCTATGAAAGACTGAGCTGTTTAGATTGTTCAGATAATTGTAGTGCATGTTTTTCACAACAGCTAAAATATTTCCTTTGTCTTACAGTTTTGAGACCTTTGGTAGATGCCACATCAGGGTGGTTGGCAATGTTCCTACAATTTTCTTGGGTTTTGGTGTAAGATCAAACACTTACCCAATGACAAAAAGCAGATAAAGAAACCTAACTAATACCAAACTAATACCTAACTAATACAAAATACCAAGATGACATGACAATCTGAAAGGTTATTTAAAAGCTGAAAAATGAAACTGGGAAGGATTTGCCGGACCACACCAGCATCCCAAAATGGAAGTCAGTTGTTTGCACCTGCCTTTAAATTTCCTTGTTTTGCCTGCTTCAAACCAATATATTTTTAAAATTTGTACCAGGCAATTCATTTTCTATTTGAATTCACATGCATTGTTTTCTGTATTATATCTGTGCTCTAATGATGACCTTCTTGCACTATTTCACCTTTTACCACTGGTAGTCTAGAGTTTACTTTTCCTAAGGTTCAGCTGTTTTAATTATTTTCTGTTAGTAAACATATTGCTTAAATATATTGCATAAGCTTTTGAATCATAGATAAGAATCCTGTGTTCCTACAGGTACTGGCGTACCTAGATAATGAAAAAAATCATTGTACTATAGCTCTTTTTTAAATTGAACATTGTTTATTTTTATCATACTGAAGAGTTAGACTGTGTAAACCACCCAGAGTGCTTTGGCTGAGGGGAAGTATGGAAATGAAATCATAAATAATAAATAGTTCATCACAAAGCATATTTTTATTTCTTTAACAAAAATTAATGAGATAATATACTTCACATTAAAGAAACAATTTTTAATCAGCCATGTTTCTTTTTTAGCCTGAAAATCACATTAAATATTAAAGTGGATATGCAATAAAGGCCAGTAATATTAATTACTCAAATATGATGCATGAAGCAATTCTTAAATTACATAGGCTTCCTTTTTGCAGACTACCCCCCCCAATATAGTTATTTTAGCATCAAGTATCTGATTTCTCATAACTTCTCTTGAGTTCTTGTTGATAGTTTTGCCCACTCAACTCCTAGTGTTACCTTTTAATGGTGATGGATAACACCAGTTATGATTTTTACAGTCTGTGCTAAATTAGGTTCAGAGTACATAGGTTTTTAAGCTATAAATATCTCTTCTGTTTACATCCTGTTCCAATTGATATATTTATAGTATAGAAAGTAGTAATTGTTTTAGGCTTCAATCCAATGGTGTCTCTGCATGAATGAAATGGAAACCATAGATAGAAATAACATTGGATTTAAGCGTTATATAGCTCTCTGTGTCCATTGATTAGCCAGAACTTTGTCTGGAAACAAAATGAAAAAACTGAAATGATTGTACTTTGGAAACTTGTAAGCAAAACTCAGTGGAAAAGATAATAATTCTAGGGAAAATGGAAGGCAGAACAAGAAGGGGAAGACCAATATCAAGCAGATTAATCCATAAAGCAATTCCTTACCTGAAAAGGGACACTTAGATGGAAAAAGTGCAGAGAAGGGCAACAAAAATGATTTGGGGGGCTGAAGCATCTCCCCTATGATGAGTGGCTACAGCAATTGGGACTATTTATCTTAGAAAGAAGGGTAAGTAAGGGGAGACATGATAGAGGTCTTTAAAATAATGCATGGTGTGGAGAAAGTGGAAAGGGAGACATTTTTCCTCTCTTTCATAACACTTGTACCTGGGATCATTCCATGAAGCTGATTGGTGGGAAGTTTAGGACCGATAAAGGGAAATCCTTCTGCACACAATATATAAACTATAGAATTTGCTGCTACAAGAAGTGGAGATGGACACCAATCTGGATGACTTTAAAAAGGATTGGACAGATTCATGAGGAAGAAAGTTATCAGTAGCTACTAGTCTTACTGGCTGTGTGCTTTCTCCTTTACCAGAGGTGGCATGTCTGCTTACAGCAGTTGCTGAAGAGCTTGGGCAGGTGGAGTTCTTGCATCCTGCTTGAGGGATCCTGTGGGCAGCTGGTTTGCCACTGTGTGTACTGAGTGCTGGACTAGATGGACCTTTGGTCTGATCCAGCATGGCCTTTCTTATGTTGCCATAACCATGAGTTGACAAGAGCTAAACAGGGCTTTGAAGGACAGGATATTTTTGAGGACATATATTCAAGGGGAATCTATAAGTTCGAAATGACTGGATGGCATGTAACAACAACAAGAATTGTCTGTTTTCCTTATTCTCATTTTTCTTATCACTCCAGTATCAGTAAGTATATTGGATATTGTTTTGTCTCTTTGCTTTTCAGAATGAGAGAGCATATTCCTTCTGTGGAACTATAGAATACATGGCTCCAGATATTGTCAAAGGAGGGGAGGCAGGACATGATAAAGTATGTTTTGCCTTGGTTTTTATTTGTCACTAACAGATATTTGATGATAAAATTTGTGGTGTATGTAAAGTGATTTTTCTAAAAAAGGATAGAAAGATTTGATCTTTTCAAAAAGATAGAAATTTTATTAAAAAAGATAAAACTCTAAATTCCTAAAAAGATAGATCCTTTTCTAAAAAGAAAGGAAAATTTCTAAATATCTTTCAGATTTCTATTACAGTGGTGCCTCATACTTCGAACTTAATTTGTTTCAGGAGGCCATTCGAACTTTACATGTTCCTAAATGTCCAATACTTGGATTAGCTTAGCTGTTGTGCAACAATTAGTGACTACTTCCGTAATTCAAACATAATTGCATTCCAGGGCATCACTCTGTGACTTAATTGGTACATGGTAATGTCATCCCTTGTGGTTCTTGTGGCCTGTTCTACAGGGATGCATAACCTCAAGTTTGGGGCCAAAATGAACCCTTTGACATTCCCAGTCCAGCTCCCCAGGGTTCCTTAGATAGCCACTATATTTCCCTTGCTACAGATTGTTTGGTGTTTTTTTTTTCTTTTGTTTGGATTTTGCTACATTCTAAAAGATTGAAATGCCACTCATGAGGCTTAGTTACTGGCAGTGAGAGCACTATGCTGAAACATGTTGGTATATTTGGTGTTTTTTGCCCACTATTTTGCCTTTGGGCATGCTCAACACTGGAATGTGGCCTCAGGAGCATCTTGAACTTGGTCTCAGATGCTGTCAGTATATGAAATGGTTCTCATGTGGCATGGTAATGGTGGGTAGGAATAGATGTTATTGTTGATCAATTGGTTAAATTGCTGCTTGTGCCACTCTTAGGACCTTACCAGAGGATGGGCTCATAGGACTAAGAGATGAATAAAGCAGTAAAATCATTAGGTCAATCATACTTTTAAAATAGTTATGTATATAGTACATAAGATGCTGTCTTATACCAAGTCAAATTGGTAATGCAGTATTGGTAATGGCAATGCAATATTGGTTATTATTGCATTGGTAATGCAATATTGTCCTCAGTATTGAGGGGTGCTCATGTGCCTTCCAAGTTCTTAACTGTGGCCTGCCACAGGTGCCCTGACACACTCCTCTGCATTTCTCCATTCCACAGAGATACCCCCTGGAGCACCAAAGGGCGGGTAGCTGCTCTAGAAAGCTGCTCCGGCTGTTCTTTTGCTACAGCAAATGACACAGGAGAATTCATCTGCTGTGGTTTGCCAGAGTGCCCACTGGCACCGATCTCTGTGTGGCTGTGCTAGAGGAAAGGAGTGGAGTATGGAGGACATGAACCTAGCATTTGCCTGGGCTCATTCACCTCACAACAGACCATTGTTTATCATTATGTTCAAATATAGACAGTTCAGTCTCTTAATTATTTAAGAGAGTAGGAGCATTAAATATACACTGTTCCACAATCTAAAATGAATAATTTTCCTTTGTTTTATATCATATATCCTTTTGTTGATTGTCTTTTTTATCAAAACATGTGTCATTTTTTACCTCCAAAATGTTAAATAGCTATCTAGCTGTTTTTTTATATATAACTGTATTGGCTTAATGTTGTTTTCTAGTCTCCTTAACATATAGTGATTATTTTATAGGCTGTTGATTGGTGGAGTCTAGGTGTTCTTATGTATGAATTATTAACTGGAGCATCACCTTTTACAGTTGATGGAGAGAGAAATTCACAAGCTGAAATATCTAGGTAAGTTACAGAACTTGTTGTACTACCAACTTTTTGATAAGATTAACAATTACCTTTCAAGGAAATATTATTTGGGATTGTCCACAGATGTTTAAAAATGTGCTGACAGTAGATTACAGTGAAAGATGTAGCACAGAGTGCTACAGAGTTTGTCAGGATATGAGGTTTTTTCTTTAATTCCATTGCCATGGACAGACTAACTTATGTTGAGGTATAAGCTCTCAGTGGCTCTTCCCTTTCAGAGAAGTGGTAGACTCATTAAGATGGTTTGCCGTCATATGCTTAAATGCTTTTTAAATCACACAGATTTCCAAATACCCTACAGAAGTTTTTGTCTGGTCTCATGGTGGTAATGTTGATTCTCAAGTTAAATAGTCACTTTTCAGTTATAGGATATAAATGTAATTTATTATACAAGCAATGGATAGCTGTGTTCTTGCTGGTTATCAAGAAATGTCACAAAAATGTCAGATTTCTATAAATTCTAATCATTATTTTGATTGTACTAGAACTTTTAGATGCATAGATGCTTAATAATATTTTGCATTCATTGGTGCATTTGCAGAAGAAGCGGCTACTTAGAGCTGAATAAGCAGCAAGGATGTATTCATTCAGTGTTAATGAAATGGATTGGCCTTTCCACATGATCTTTAATATTTTCCCAGTTTAACATTTCAAAAGCGTCCCAGGTGAAGTTAACGTTTATACTGTGGAAATGTTTGTTTTTTTTTCATCCTAGGTGTTGACAACAGTGTTCTATACTACGTGCTATTTAAACAGATAGTTATAATTTATGTATTGACATCAAAAAATATTATAACGCTATTTAAAAATGGATCCCCAGCTTATTATTTATTTATTTAGGAAGCTTCTATGCCGCCCCATTCACCAAAGCCTCGGGGCGGCTCACAACAATAAATAAATAATAACAATATAAAAACAATATAATTTGAGACGACCTGGCCAAAGATGTAAAATAAATAAATAATATTAGCAATTAAAATGACATTTAAATAAAAAGGTCTTCGCCTGGCGCTGAAAAGCAAATAACGATGGCGCCAGGCGGACCTCTCTGGGGAGCGCATTCCATAGATTGGGCGCCACTGCAGAGAAAGCCCTTCTCTGAGTATTTACCCTCCTAATATCCTTCACAGAGGGTTCCTGGAGAAGGGCCTCTCCTGCTGATCTCAAGGGGCGGGCGGGCATATATGGATGTAAGCGCTCCTTCAGGTAATCTTGCTACTTACTTACCCCTGAAGCAATGGATAGAAAAAAAGTGGACACAACTTCATGAGCTTTCAGTAGTGGCCCTTCTTTCCCCCAGCTATGACCAGAATTCCTCCAGGAAACATCTTGCCCTGAGGGGTAGGGAGAAGGGACAAATTATTAAACTCAGAGGAGGAGAATCTACAAAAGCAAAGAAGCAAAAGAGGAGCAGGCCAGCCCAGAAAGATAATAGATGCTGTGCAAACCCAAGTTCAATTGGTTCCAGAACAGATAATTTCCCATGTATCTCTGGAGCAGAATCACACATCATCTCCCTGCTTTCTTCTTCCTCCCTCTCAGTTCCTGGCTTTGTGTCTCATGTCCTTAAAGACTGCAAACCTGAGGACAGGCTGTGTCTAATTATTGATTTTTGTAAATTGTTCTGGGAGCCTTTTGACTGAAGGGTATTCAAAAAATGCTTTGATTAGAAAGACACATTCACTTTGGATTTTGAATTTTTATTTTTCTTGAAGCTTGTTATGTTATAGAATTATCCAGACAATGCATCCTGTATAAGTGTTTACTCCTTATCTTGCTGAGTGTGTTAATTTTACTTCAAAGGTCTATTTTAAATAAAATAGTAATTAGGTTTTTTGTAGTACCAAATAGTTACTGTATTATACATCTTTGCTACTTTTCAAGACTTTATTTCAGGATGTTTAGCTAGATTAAGTGGTAGCACATACTTTGCTTGTGGAAATACAAAGTTCATTCCCTGATATTACCTTTCCCTGAACCTTTCCTCTGGTTCTCCAGAAAATTTTGGGCTAGATCAGGAGTGTAGAACCTCAAGCCTCGGGGCTAAATCCAGCCCTTCTGGGCTCTCGGAATCTGGCCCTTCAAGTTTCCCTTGACAGCATGACTCTTTCTCCTAATCACAGAACATTTGGTGCTTTCCCAGGTGTTGTGCAATTTTTCACATTCTAAAGAAAAGAAAAGAAAAAAGAAAAAGAAATGTTACTCCTAATGCTTAAATACTGACAGTAAAGGATTAAAGGTAAAATATATGTGGTTCCACCCTTTTGGCTTTTGCTTTGTCAGCTACTGAAATCTGGACCCTCAGAGGTTCTTTAAAATGGAATTTGGCTCTCTGGCTGAAAAAGGGTCAATATTCCTTGCCTAGATAGACCAGTGGTCTGATTTAGTATATGTGTGTGGCTCCCATTTGCCTGGTTCCATTCCTGGGCATACTATTACCATTTGCTGGGCATTTATAACCAAGATTGCTTTGATTTCCAAAATAATTAGCTATTGTCCCTTTTCAGGAGAATATTAAAAAGTGAACCTCCTTATCCTCAAGAAATGACTGCTTTAGCTAAAGATATAATTCAGTGTCTTCTGATGAAAGATCCAAAGAAAAGGCTGGGCTGTGGTTCAGGTGGTGCTGATGAGATCAAGCAACATCCATTCTTTCAGGTGAAACAAACTTTGTGTGTGTGTGTGTTTCATTGGGAAACATAAGATGTTTTATCTAGAAATTACTCTGGCAGATATCAGGCATTGCTGATACCAAAATGAAGGACTACTACTCCTTGTATTCCTGTGCTTCTGAAGATGCACATATTTCAGCATCCTTTGACACTTAGATGATGCTGTGCTCTGGATCTGGTTAACTGGTAATTTGATGCTATGATGAGCTCTTTATTTATTTCAGGAGCCATTTTATTGTGATTTAGTTATTTTGATATGCATTTTCACTTAATTATTACTAACTGCTTTGAATATAGGAAGGCAGGATAGGAATTTGTTTCTTAAACATTTTTATTTCCAGTACATCTCTTGATTATGATTTCAGGATAATGGACTGATCACTCTCACTGAGGTAAACTTTTCTGTATGGTACATGATGCTTGATGTAAGCATTCATATATGATATACCTTGAGTGAGTAGTTTTCAGGGTTGTCTACCCCGTCAACTTAACATATGAATCTCTTTGAATTGTGGCCATAATCAACTTATTTTCACAATTTAAAAATGAAAAAAAAATACAAATTTTCCTTGTGTCATTATCAAGCTTTCCTGAACAGTTTGCACTGACAGTTGAAACCTTTATATTCTGCTTTCATTTTCTTCTAAACTTAATTTAATGTTTTGGTTTAGAAAATAAACTGGAATGACCTGGCAGCCAAAAAAGTGTCCGCTCCATTTAAACCAGTAATTCGTGATGAATTGGATGTTAGTAATTTTGCAGAAGAGTTTACAGAAATGGACCCAACATACTCTCCAGCAACCACCCCACAAGCTGCAGACAAGCTTTTCCAGGTACTTTGCTGTATAGTACTATAATACTATCATAGGTAACTTGAGGTGATATAATCTAGGCATGCAATAAAATATGGTGATATTTCAGAAGGTGATTAAAGTCACTGGAGTTTGGTAGGATGAAAAGAAATAACATTTGGATAGAAGTAGAATAAATAGCTTGTGCGCAACACAGTGTGCCTGACACTGAATGTTATGGTCAATGTAGTTTTTTGGGGGTGTATTTGGCAGTATCCAGTACTGCCTGTGCACTAGTGGGACTCACTGTTAGTGCAACAGGAAGCTAGTGGATCCTGCAGCAATCCAAAAGGTAGAGCTTTGAAAGGGAGCTGTGCTTACCTGAGCCATTTCTGAAATGAGCATTTTTGCTTGTTTCTGGGATTATTTTCAGAAGCTATAGTTCCTTTTGTGCAAGTGGTAGGCTGTGCAAATGCAATCAAACCAGTTGGAACACCGCAGCAGTAATGGATGTGTCCACTAAATTTAGTTGATGATTGATAATCTACAAAAGAATGTAAAAAATGACAATCAGTGCATTCAGTGTTGGCCAAAAGATAGCACAAGCATGATTATAAATCTGTGAGTTATCAGATCAAAATGGCAATTGGGATGAAAATGTTCAGAGGTAAAGAGAAAAAGAAGCATTGGATTTTGTTAGCAAGTTTTGATCCCATCCTCCTGTCCCAGTGAGACATTTCAGAGCTATAGTGTCTCTTTACCAGTAGTGATTAAAATAAAATTTGTAGTGTCGTGAACTTCAAAAAATATAAATAAAAAAGAAAAGCGTGGAGTGACCTCTACATGCTAGGATAAATTCTGTTCTTCTACACACAATAGGTATTTGCAGGAAAACATATATGTGATTCACTATAGTGAATCCACGCCCCTTACAGAGTCAGGATCTCTTGAGGGGAGAGATTATTGTGGTAGACTTAAGGCCTTGTCAGCATATCCACAGGGGAGAACTTACATATTAGCCATGTCAATGAGTGATTTAGAAAAGGCTATCTTATTTCCTCCCATTTGAGAGGTAAAAAATTGCTAGAGGCAGTCTTCTGGGAGCATTTGATGTCAATATAGGTGCTCAGGCTCATATGTTATTTCTCTTATCTAGCCGTGGCAGCAGATCTGCTCATGCAGGCTATTTTAAAATAAATGTAATGGGCCTAAATTTAAATGTAATGGAAAAGAATAGATCTGAAATTGTTTTTTCAGTGATGTGGTTGAAGGAGTGTAAGCAAATAGGTGAGATGGATAGATACTAAGCAAGAAGGTAATGCTTTTATTTTATCAACATCTTCAAATATATTTAAAATATTTTGAAACCTGTTGCCACTGGAAATCTTGTTGGATATAATGATCAAGGAGAGCAATTCCAAGTGTGATTAATTGGAATTAAATTGCAGTGGGTTGCAAGTCAGGTTTAAGGCCTTAGGCCTTAGGGTTTTCATCTGAGTATAACTGCATAGGATTCTGCAGGTAGTATTGTGAGTATTGTTTTGGAACAATGACAAATTATGACTGCAGTTACGCATTATTGTGATGGCAACACATTTATTTGCTCCCTCCCTTTGCACATGCACTCCATTTCTCCCCTATTGCTGCTTTTGCTTCGATTTTTTAATTAACTGCACTTTATCACATTGTCTGAACTCAACAAACTGTTGTGGTTTATCTTCAGTATTGTTTGTTTGAAGCATGCTAATTTCAATCATGAGTAATGAAGCTGGCTTGTTTCAGCAATCTACAGTTAAAACTAATCATAGTTTAGCATTTGGGCAACATACGAATATGTAGTTTATATGAAACAGAAGTGGGAGCCATTATGGGGAGGAGGGAATTCATGAGCCCAGTTTGTTCCTGGCATGACCAACCATACTTCATTGTGTTAATGTGACCTTTTTTAAAAAAAGTTATGGATGTTACAGAAATGCTAACATATTCACTAGTTCAACTGGCTTAACCCTGGCCCTTTTTACGATGAACTGTGATTTTCTTGCAATGCACTTTGAGGACACATATGCTTGTCTCTGCAGCAAACTTAGCACTGTTGTTAGTGCTGCTCCAGTCAAGCTATGATTTCACCAGCTGCCTGATTTTGTGGGATCAACTTCAGTTGCTATGGGCTGTGATGTCAACAAGGTGCTTGTAGCAATGAGACTGATTCTTGCCCCTCCTGGTTAATAAAAGCTACCTGAGGGGGTATGCGTAAAATTTGTGTCCACTGCTATACAAGGAGATCTCTCTCCTCCTGCAAGTCGTGCTGCTGCAGAGGAGACTACTGCTGGCAGTGTTCATTCTTTGAATCAGTTGTGTGGGTCTGGTCCTGTAACTTAAAAAAAATGTATGTGGCGTTTAGCATGCATTTTGAAATCTGAACCCAGACAATCTGTATATTAGAAATGTTTCTGAGCACAGGCCAGCCTTGTTCTGTTGAAGTACGTATTTTCATATCTAGGATATATATAGATTTCCTTGCAAATAGGAAAATAATGGAATACTTCCAGGTAATTCCACTGACATGTTAGCATATCAAACTTGTTTTTAAACAGGAAAAATACTTTGACATTTGCCCAATCATAATATAAGCTTGTTTGATACCTTAACTGTAGGTGTCTTGAGAGCCAGTTTGAAGTATGAACCTTTGTCACCAGTGAAAAAGCTGTGAGTCAGTTTTTTTAGCATTTTTTACAATCTAATTTTATTGGTTTTTTTTAAAATAGTCCAGAAAAATGGTATAATTTCTTCAGGCAGGTTTCCTCTATTATGCAAATATAGAGTTGTATCATTTCCTTGAGTACAATTCTTGCTTATTTTTGATACTGATTATACTTTTTTCTTTCTGAATTATGATTGCTATAATCATTGAAATTATGGCTAAAATATAATTGTGACAAACATCTTTTCTTTTCTTGTTTAGGGATATTCCTTTGTTGCTCCTTCTATCTTATTTAAGCGGAATGCAGCCACTATGGATCCTGCTCTCTTTTTGACAGAAATTGACCGACCTGGAGTTACAAGTATTGCTAGAAGTGCTATGATGAAGGTAATACTAAGAGCTTATTAACTAGCTATTGAATGTCCCAGTGATTCCCTGTTTTATACTATATTCTAAGACCAGAAGTTTGGAAGTATTTAAGGTAATTGTATCTGTGCATACAGACATCATATTTTGGCTACTTATGGCATAGAACAATTCAAATGTGCATGTAGAGGGTGGGTTTTTCAGGTAAATGGCCTTCACAGTTAGTACTTGCAGTCTTGACATAAGAGGGGTTTATTGTTAGGTTCTCTTTCTTAGCCCCCACATTTAATTAGGGTGCTAAAACTGATAGTGCTAACTTTCGATTTTGTAGTGGAATTCCTTGTGTATATCCCATATCCCATTGCTGCATATAATGCTTTTTAGGGAGGAGTTGCAAAGTTAAGGAACTGAACCAGAAAAGTATTCCAAATTCCTAAATTGCAGAAACTTCATGTACTATAAATTTAAGAAATCACTGACATAACTCTTCAATTTTATACCATGTTTAGGTATAACTGTATTTGGAAATAAATTAATATATATATATATATATATATATATATATATATATATATTTGAATGCTCATATACATTAACATATTTGCCTGATATTTTCAATTTGATAGTCTAAGAGAAATTATTTAAATGACATAATGCTTATGTTCCAATGCCATATGCATTTACCAGGAATTATTCAAAGTAGACATACATAGAAATGTGATGTTTGTGAATCACATTTATGTTCTTTTTTTCTTAGGTAGAAAAATGGTTTAATAGGAAACCTTTATGGGCTAATGAATGACTCAAACAAAGTTGTTCCTTAGCTTTTGATTCTGTTGAGAAAAGGTTACTAAATACTGTCAATTTTTACCCCCAGGACTCTCCGTTTTATCTTCACTATGAACTTGACCTGAAAGAAAAACCACTGGGAGAAGGAAGTTTTTCTATCTGTCGAAAGTGCTTGCACAAGAAAACTAGCCAAGAATATGCAGTAAAAATAATTAGTAAAAGGTATAAAGACAGAAAAGGCATTTTATTATTATTTCTAATAATACTGAGCAATCAGCATGTAGTTCATAACATTCGTATGGTTCCCTTCGATGTAAATATTTTCAGATTGCATATAAGACAGAGCAATAACAAAAATAAAAAGTAACAAACAGAGCAGTTTAACAATTTAAAGGTTAAGAAAATAAAAGAGGGGGTTGCCTGGCACTAAAAACATAGCAAAGGGCTGGTTAGATGAGCCCCTCCAAGGATAATTCCCTAAGTGGGTGCCACTACTCAGAAGGCCCTTTCTCTACTCACCAGCTACTTACAGTGGCAGAGGCACCATCAGAAGGAGTTCAGATGATGCCCTCAGCATTAAACTTTTTTAATGCAATGGGTAATATACCCGAACCTTTAATCTGAACATTTAAAGAGTCTTCAAAAAAATTATGCTTTGTCCAAGTAAATTAACACCTTGTTCTGAATATAGCCAAATTAAATGATACTCATACATTCATTCCAAGTAGATTGTATTTGTGCTTGAATCGTACAGACTCATAATTGTTTATATTTAAAGAAACCTGTTGCTCATATTTCAAAACTTAACTTGAGATGATAAATTAATACTTATAGTTCAGCAGTTTGCTTTGTTAAGTTGGTATTGGGTAACTTTTTAATTTTTCAGGCTAGAAGCCAACACCCAGAGAGAAATAACAGCTTTAAAACTCTGTGAAGGGCATCCCAATGTTGTGAAGCTGCATGAAGTTTATCATGATCAGGTATTTCAAGCAGTAAACTTCGTAGAAAAATGCTTATACTTAAGCTAATCATAGTTTATGTACAAACCTTATTTTAGATTCATTAGCACTGAATAACATTTGGGAGATAAACAAGGTAAGCTGGTACTTCTGTATTTGGCTTGCTATTAGATACACATTATTTTAAAAAGATACTTTGTTGCCAGGTCACTGTTTTTAGGCTTGGTTTGCCATTTTTAGCTTATTTTGCAATTTTAAGCTTCAATCAGCAAACAAAGGCATACTAAATGAAAATAAAACAACAGATCACAAGCAAATTAGACACAAATATGCTGTATCCAATACTGTTTACATCTCATTGTGGGACCAGGATCCACTGTTCATGATTCCTAAAGTAAATGAGCCCTGCTGCTCAGCCTTGTCATCAAAACAAGTGACCCAGCTCATTTGTGATTGTTCTAAGAACTCCTGGCAGTGGGCAGTAGGAGATAAAGACTAAATAAAGACTTTAGTATATGGAGCCTATTATTGCTCATTTTTATTAAAAAGCTTGCATTAACATATTGGGTGAGCAAGGGCAAGTCATCGTAACTTTGTAATTCTCCTTTTCTTCATGTATTCAAATAAGTAAGCCATTCTCATTAAATATGCTATGGGAGAAGAATTAATGTGCTGTCGAAATTTATACATCTCCTGCCAATTCATCCACTCACAGAAGAGGCTGCTATAGTGTGTCTAGTTTATCTACTGTTCCCTGCTTTCAATGAGACTTTGTTTAGGATGGCTAGGCATTTCTGGTTCAGAGTGCTTGGATATTGCAATCACTTTTAATGCAGAGATACTGTTGAACCTACCCTGAGAGGGTGCAAAAAAATGGGACCCTGGGAACAAGTAATTCTTACACGCTCTGAAGATCAATCCCTTCAGGTGCATTGTTGAAGTGTGCTTTCCATTTTAATTCGGACGTGAATGACTGGAGGTGGAGAAAATAATTAAATAATCACAACAAGCAGTTGATATGCTAGGGGGTACATTGCTTCTTGTCATTTGCTGTTGCTTTCTAGTTTCCTCTTAAATAAGTTCTTCTGCCAAATCCTTCATATATATTTTAAATGAATAATAAATATGCATAGTTAGTGATTATTACATTTTCTAAGAAAAATGTGCATACAAATGTATTTTTTCTAGCTCCATACATTTCTAGTAATGGAACTGCTGAAAGGAGGAGAATTACTTGAACGCATCCAGCAAAAGAAACACTTCAGTGAAACTGAAGCTAGTTATATCATGCGCAGGCTTGTTTCAGCTGTGAGTCATATGCATGATGTTGGAGTGGTCCACAGAGACTTAAAACCTGAGGTATGATCTCGGGGGAATAAACAAAACTTTTGAATACTGACTTACACCCCTCTCTCCTTTACCTAACTCTTTGGTTTGATTTTAGTTTGCCTTTTTGTTACAATTGCTTCCAGTGAGCCTCTGTTTGGGATGGGTAGGCATTTCTTGTTCAGAATGCTTGGATAATTCAATCACTTTTTGAACTGATTGTAGTAGTGTTTGTATTGATAGAACACAATAAAATAATTAAAATGGAGGTGTTGATATAAAACTTGCAATAAAGTTTTTTTTAGTAAAATTTAGGACACTGCATTCTTTTTCATTACGATGAAGCTTATGAGATCTGTTCATTGAGGATGAAATGTCACATCTTTTTTCCCTGGCTAAGTTATCTCAGTAATAGTTGTGCCCCAGTTTTGCTTTGTGGTCTTATTAATATAGGTTTATAATCAGTCAATTGTTTTGTTACCCTTGAGTTGAAAATGCCATTATGTGAATAACCATTGTCAGAGAAAGTCTTCTTCATAATAGTATCTTGCATTTATTTTGGTTGATATTTGATTTTTTTAGTTCCTTATTCTAAATTTCACATAGATTTCTTGCTAGCAACCCAGGTGACTAATGTTCATCATGCATATGGGTATGTTACAATTTTCCAACATACTGTTGGAACTGTCCAACATTTTTTCCAATTCTTTTGGAAGTAATTTGTTGGGGGGGGGGGAATATAGGTTAGAAGAGGATTAATTGAAAATTATACCCTTCTCTATTATGCTGAGAGAAGTCTTCCATTGGTATAGGGAATCTCAATGGATAATGAAGAGCTAATCATACAGAGGACATATGATAAAGAGAATAATGTTATCCTCGAAGCAGAAAAAGGGACACTTAAGACTCTTGGTCTTGTTTGTTTGTTCTTTTACTTATTGATTTAGTTTTGAATAATTATGCTGTTAAGTATTGTTGGAATTGAGAAGAGCAGATGCTTTTGGCATGCATTCCCAGGGCATGCTGGTCTCAGGAGGAGGGGCAGTGGAGGAGGACTCAGAATCTGGGCCAGTTCAAGACATTGAGGTGAGAGAAGTGCAAGGGCTTATCTCAAGGCCAGACTCCCCAGGTGCCCGGGCAGCCTCTGAGAATTACCAAGATGTACAGCTATCAGGAGGGGGCTTGGAACAGGGGAGTTTGTCAGAGACAGATGAAGGGGATATGGTTCTCAACTCTATGATACGATATCAGCAGAGGAGGGGTGCCCAATTGGCAGATCAGCCTGCAGAGAGGAGGTGTGCTTGTTTCCAACAGGCACCTCCCCAAAGGATGGAACCCAGCTTTACTCAGAAGGAAAGTTCTTGAAGTAAATACTAGACAACAAAGCATTCTGTGCATGCTCACAGATTCATTCTGGGTGATTGTGCTTCTGGAAAATGCTGTGGTCAGTAAAGAACATTTTGCAAGCAAGGTCTGTGGCTTTGAATATGTGAAGTATACACATAGAATATATCATTTGTAGTTATCTCAAGTATAAGCAACATAGATTCTTATAAATGTCACTGTCATTGGAATTTTATATTGAAATCATAGATTATAAATCTCTTATTTTAAGGTTTTTGTTTTTCAGAACTTATTATTCACAGATGAAAGTGACAATTCAGAAATAAAAATAATTGATTTTGGATTTGCGCGTCTAAAGCCACCTGACAATCAGCCCCTTAAGACACCATGTTTTACCCTTCATTATGCTGCTCCAGAGCTCTTAAATCATAATGGTTATGATGAATCATGTGATCTCTGGAGTTTGGGAGTCATTTTGGTAAGCTGAGCACTTAATTTTATTCTGCATTTTTAAATAACCGGCCAGAGATTTGGTCTAATCTAAGACCAAAGTGGTCTAAGTAGAAAAGTTAACTGCAGAGTTTAGTGCTCATCATTCATGCTTAATTCAATAGGATCTTTCACTGGACCAGTACAGATATAATAAGGATTTTGTCTTAACCTCTGTTAGGAAATCTTGTGTGGGTCACAGGATTGCAAGCTGCTTCATCACAGCCCTGCTTAATCAGAGTTGTTAATCAACTTCAAATCCTGGGTAATCAGGGGAATTGTTTAATCAGAACAACTATCTGTTCTGGCATAACCCTTAAAACATGATTAACGTAGGAGGGGATCATGTGATCTTTTGTTTGGTTACTGATCTCTTAACAGTGTGTGTGAGAGAAAGCATTATCTCTGTTTATTGCATTGTTACAGAAATAGAACCAACAGGGTAGTGCATTTGATAATGCAGATTTTATCACATGGTTTCAAACTATAGTGAAATGAATCCATTTTGCAACTTGTGAAAATACTATTTTGTTCAAATTGTGTTTGTATGTATAGTTCTCCTCCAATCTGAATTGCTAAGCTATGCATGAGTAGATGGAATGAAGTCCTACAGCTCTCAGCTTTCCTTAGCTAGCTGTGCTGCGAGTTTTGGGCAATACCTTTACCAAGTGCTGCTATGATTGTGCAAGCTTTCTACTTCGTTTGTTTGCATCATCTCTTGTGGCTTATGGTTGATCCTAATAAAGGTTTTGCCCAACTGCAGACTTTGGATTTATTTCCTCATGGACAAGCATAGCTAAGTCTGTAAACTGTTGGCAACATTTTACAGGTGTATGTATTTACCCATATCTATAACATCTTCTCTTCTTTTCCTTGCACACACACAGAGAGACACAAATAGTTATGGATATAGTATTAATTTAATATTTTTCTTTCCTGAACAGTTTACAATGCTCTCAGGACAAGTACCCTTCCAGACTCAAAATAAAAATATAACATGCACAAATGCATTGGAAATTATGAAGAAAATTAAAAGAGGAGAGTTTTCTTTTGAAGGAGATGCTTGGAAAAATGTTTCTCAGGAAGCCAAAGATTTGATACAAGGTATATATTGACTAGTAACTTTCTTAACGAAGTTTTGAGTAATCCCAGTAGTTGTTAGTAATTTGATTTTTGGAATTTATTAACAGGGGATTTTCTAAGGAAGCTAGTATTATGATGAGGCCAAAATCACTGGCTTGTAATCTCTGCAGAAGGTTGGCTTATAATCACTGACTTGTAACCTCTGTAAAAGAATGGTTCCTTTAGCTCCAATATAATATGTTTGCATTCAGACAGGCTCTGAAGTGTCAGCATTTCCACAAGCTTCTAATTTGAATTTTATGTATGAAAATTAAAAATGTTTGGACGGATTGGTGAGGGAAGCTTCTGAAGGCAACATAGTTGAAGTGCATGTACAGTGGTATCTCGGTTCATGAACTTAATTCATTCCACGATTCTGGTCGCGAACAGAAGTGGTTGCGAACCGAATCAAATTTCCCCATAAGGTTCAATGTAAATAAGGTTACTCTGTTCTGAGCCATATGTATTTTTTTTAACTACAAAAATATGGAACAAAGTACAGTGCAGTATGAAGAGAGAGAACACTAACCTTGCTTGAGGCGACTTCTGGCGTAGAGGACAGGAAGGTGGGTGGGGAGGAGGTTATTGCTTGGAGGGAGAGGCCCCCTCTATAAGGATCGCGACTGCAATCTCGACTAGAGGAACCCATGACCATGTTTCAGAGTGGGGAAGATGACTGCGTTCGTGTTCGTGTGGGGAAGATGGCTGTAGTTATTTTCGTTACCCAATGCAGAGTTCATGAACGGAAGGAAAATTTTGCCGAACTTTCTTTTTGCGAACTGAATTGTTTGCAAACAGAAGCATTCATGAACCGAGATATTACTGTACTTAATGTTTTTCTGAGTACCTGAATTACTGCCATTGTGATAATCTGATTTCCTGTAGTTTCTGAAAATATACCACAAATGCTAACTGTTAAGAACAGTTGATTTAAAATGAATTGTCTATTAAATGTCCCTAATTAATTATTTCTGCAACCCTAAGATTCTTTAAACTTCCCGGGGTGGTTTACCTGGTGCCGTTGCTGCTCTCTGTTCAGCACCAGGCAAAGAACTTTTTATTTTCCATGTGTTATTATAGCTCAATTGGCTTTTAACTTTGCTTTTGTTTTTTATTTCCTCCATGCCTTGCTTTTATCATACTTTTGCCATTAACTGCTGGATTTTTCTACTGTTTTTATTTGTTTTTATTGTATTGTTATTTGCTTTATTAATGTATTGTTGATTTTATTGTATTTTACTGTAAACTGCCCAGAGAGCCCTCCAGGCTATGGGGCAGTATATAAATGTAATAAATAAATAAATTTTGTCATTTTATAAGTTATAAATCAGATTATCAAAGCAGTTCATTTTTGTTTATAAATCAAAGTTAAGTAAAGCCTGTTAAAAATAAATAATGGTCCATTGATTTAAGAATATCTAATAAATTCTTATTAGGACTCCTTACAGTGGATCCAAATAAGAGAATTAAAATGACCAGCTTGAGATACAACGAATGGCTTCAAGATGGGAGCCAACTATCATCCAACCCGTTAATGACTCCAGACAATTTAGGATCTTCAGGAGCTGCTGTACACAGTTATGTCAAAGCAACCTTTAATGTAAGTTCATATAGTTCTTTTTTAAACATTAAGCTATGTTCTTCTGCCAATTTATTATTTACTTTAAACTGGATACACTTTTGCTTCAAAAAAAATAGTGCTTTAATATCCTCAGCTTATAAGTTTGAGCCCTTTTTTCTCACTTGTTGGGATCCCAGAACATATGAAACTTTCTATTGAAATAGGGGATTACTGGGGAGTGGGAGGGGAGAGGAGAAATAGAGACATTTCATTGGAAGCCATTTATCTGTACTGCTCCCACTGTGGAATCATGAGATGTCAAGTCCCTAAACAGAGTGTAGGAAAAATCCACAACATAATCAAATGAGTTCAGACTTCTCAGATATGCAGATTCCTCAATTAACCCATTTTTGAGTCTTATGGACACTATAGACGTACAGACTGGGTTTCTTCACTTTTGGAAGGGGAGATTCATGCTCCTTTATATTAGTGGGAATGAGCTAATTAACGTACATTTGTGCAAGTGTGAATGAAATTTTTGTGCAAATAGAATGAAATTCTGGTTTAAAACCCCCCAGTTCTGTCAATGAGAAGACAATGAAATGAAAGGTAGCCAAAAGCTATGAAACACAGATGGACTGGATGTAACAAAATCCATATGTCTCTAGTCCCTGATTTCTTGCCAAACTCTTGGAAGTAATTCATTCCTCTTATACATCCTTTCTGTTCACTTGTTCTGTTGATTCAAGCCAGAGCTGCTTTTGCATGTCAGGCCATCACAGGAGCTTCTAGGGAGATTATCCTACTGTTATCCTGAGAAACAAAGTAGTATATAATAAATGGCGTTGTACTTAGTCTTAGGTTCAGAACATACAAAGAAAGAAAATGAAAAAATAGATGTACTCTGCCATCTTTTATGTATTCCAAAGGTACTTTGTACAGAATTCTTTTTCTTCACTTAAAATCCATCCTTCCTGTCCCCTTAACATGCCACTTAAAACAATTTTTAAAAATTTAAAAATTTCCTTCCATGTTTAGCTCTCATCCCACACTGTTCTCAACTTAGCTTCACTTCATGACATTCTGGGAAATGTGAATGGTGGCTCCACAGGAATGATGTTGCCATTGCTACCACCAAATATACCTGCTATGAGAATGGGCCTACAATAGTGACCTTTGCTTAGAGCCTACTCACATCAGCCCAGTCACTAATGCAGCTTTCAGGAGGACAAAGAAGAAGGAGCTGTGCTTGATATTTATCATACGGAAAGCGTGTACTCTTTTTGTTGTTAGCTAGCTAGCATTTTTGAAACCTCCAGTATTCCATGAAAAACACTGTGATCATATACAACTTGTAAAAAAAAATCATAGGTACATAAAAATCCATGTGCTTTTTATGCACTTATTGGAACTGATGTGCACTTACTGTAGTCACCACTCCCTCTAATTATCCAGTATAGTGTATTCATGGACTGTTGTAAACTGCCCAGAGAGCTTTGACTATTAGGCAGCATAAAATGAAATTGACAGCATCTATTTTGGGAATTTAATCATACCTTACTGCTTTAAATGTATTTGAGTTGTATGCAACTCAGTTGATTAGGGAATGTCTTAATATTTTCAACAACTTCAAGAACTAAGTCCAGTTTGAATACACAGTATTATATCTACCTTTTAAAACAGGCCTTTAACAAGTACAAAAGGGAAGGATTTTGCCTCCAGAATGTTGACAAGGCACCTCTTGCGAAAAGAAGAAAGATGAAAAAGACGAGCACAAGTACAGAGACTCGCAGTAGTTCCAGTGAAAGTTCTCATTCTTCTTCTTCTCATTCTTACGGTAAAACTACCCCTACAAAGACACTGCAGCCAACAAATCTCACAGACAGCAATAATCCAGAGAGTATCTTCCAGTTCTCTGACTGAAAAATACAGTAAATTTGCTCTTGAGAAGATTAATTAAATTGTTATAAACTTGCAGACATATGTGTTCCTTTGAACACTACAAAGTTTATCATTTTTAATAACTCCTGTATTGGGCACACATTTTTACAGACTTTGCTTTCTAATTTTCTGGGTCAGTCCTGGTATACAATAGGACATTTTAAAATGCCACTATGACTATAGCCAGAATCAAAGTTGAAAATAGTGTGTTAAGAAGGTGTTTTCATAGAAAACATTTTGGTAAGTCATCTCCAAATGATTGTTTTTATGCTATTCATAAACATAGGCTGTTGTCTAATGAAAAGACATTGCACACGCAAACATGGCTTGCCCTTTGCCAGTGAAGAAGTTCTATAAATCCCCAGAATGGCAGCCCTTGGTGCATGCAGACTTCATACTAATGGTTTCCTTTCTTTGAAAATGTCTAGACGTTAGCAAGATGACAAAATGAGGTGATCAATGTTGAGACATTTGGCAGGATCAAAAGATAGCTATATCCGTATATGCAGAAGCCATTTTCCATGTGCAGGAAGCCTTGCACAAGGAAAATTAAGCCACATCCAAAGACCTTCAGCATGTGAAATGGATGCATCAATCCTTCTTCAAGACATATGCAACAATTTAACTAGTGCAAGGGCTGGTATTCAGAACTGTATGATTTTATCTTCTATTCCAGGTTTTGGCTATTTTCTTTTTTCTAGTTTGGAAACCTGTTGGGGTTTCTAATAGCTTCATAAAATTATTTGCTTGCTATTTCTTAAGCATTAAATGCGTAAAGGTTTTCTGAAAAAATATTTATATTTATCTTAATACATGTATGCTTTTAAATTAGTTTCTCTTAAGTGAGAAGTCTATATTCCTGTTACCATGTGGGTCCAAAAGCTAAGCATGCTGTGATTTATAAAACCTTTGACAGTTTGCTGTCTAGTTGTAGTGTTAAAGTATTTGCATGTTTTGGAACATCTGTAACTGCATTTAATGAGTAACTGAACAATGCAATGAGTACTTCTTGGAGCTGCTGTGTAGTCTGTAATAACTTCTGTAAGAATTATGATCTTATTGTACCATTCAGCTGTTCAATATTAAGCTTTTGTTCTCTTGCCACTCCTTCAATGCATACATGCAATAGTTTTCAGATGTTGCCCCCTTTCATGATGGGGTACATTTAACTTTAAACCATTAATGCACTGAGAAAACTAAAGGAATATTTTATCAAGCACTGTGCTTCACATCTATACACTGTGTTTTCTACAGTTAGATATTTCCTTTTGTAGTTGTATTATAATTGGGATAATAAATGTGACTCTTACTGATGCATTTAAATAGTAATATCTTCAATTGTAATGCATAATTTGTCAATATATGCAGATCACTCCTGCAGCTCATGTGCTCCAGTGTTGCAAAAAGTAATTGAATAGTCTTGTTATGAATTAAGTGAGGCAATTTGTATAAAGTTAAAGTTCATACATAGATGTTTGTGCTATTGGAGTCCAACACAGATTTTAAGAACACCTTGCTGCATTGTAGAATAAACTAAACCCAAATCCTATGCAAAAGAAAATAGGAACTGTTTTCTATAAATCACTTGTTTACATCATTACATCTGCTATCAATGTTTGACAAATGTAGTGCAGATTTGTCTATGGAAATCCTGGAAAGAGCATGTTTTTCTATATTGACAATATTTTTAGCAGGAACAATTGGTCTAGGAAGTTTTCTGTTTGATTCACTAGTTCTTAGCATTGTCATCTAGTTTTCATTTAGAGGGAAAGTATGATCCCAGCTCTTGTTGTGAAAGCGATCTTGAGCATGTAGTGACAGAAACTAAAAGGCCTGTAATCAGATACCAGGTATGTGGTGTGATTTTATACATGTTTACTTAGAAATAAACCCACTGAGTTTGATTAAGTTTACTGCTATTAAAAATGCACAAGATCCCAACCTTAATTGTTTAAACATTTGGGGTGGCTAATATGAGTTAGAGCACAATCCTGTGACCACTCCGTGACAGCCATGGGAGACTTCAGAAAGCAGCCATCTAAGGTTTGCAGAGCAGTGAAAGCACAGAGGCAAATCACCTCTGCTTTGCTTCCACCTACACAGGATGCCCACAGTCTTCCTAATTCAGTAGGTTATGGGCAGGCACATTGGATTGCACTGTAATTAATTTTAAATGCTAATTTGAGCTTTTTAACCATGAGATTTAAAAAAAATCTAAGGGATATACAGCCTAGAATGAACACAGCTTCTACACCACATGTGCCTTGGCTTCCATACTGTGTTCAGGTACTTAAATTATGCCTGCAATCTATGTGTGTAACTGTGGACAGGATAGAAGCTTGCATGAATTACTTCTTTTAAAAGGCAGATCAGCTGAAAATACTTTAGATGTGCTACATTGTGGCCCTGGTGCTGAAGAATTGGCACACCTTTAAATCTGAGGGTTTCACTATTTAGCAATACAAATTACTTAGCCTACAATCCTGTGCACACACACTTAGGAGTAAGTCTTGTGGAGCTCAATGGGATTTACTTCTGACTAATTATGCATAGAATTCCACTATAAATTTAATACTTTGGCATAAATTCCAACACATTTTCTAAGCTGATGGAAAGATTAAGGATTGTACTATCTTGTTCTTTCCAATCCTGTATGATGCTAGCACAAACAACATAAGGTAACTTAGTTAAAATATACACTACTACATCAAGATTTAATTTAGATTCATTGTTTTATTTGCAAATATGACCTATATCTGGGCAGTCCCATTTTTTATACCTTGAGGGCCTCATGAGGAGTTCCACACAGAACCTGTGGGGTGCACAATGAATTCCACTGAATGAAAAAAAAAAACAGTTTGTGGGCCTGTGATCTCTGCAGATCACAGGTAGCTCCTTCTCCAGCCACAGCCCAAGCACAATGACTGGTCCTTTGGGATGGCCCATCCCTTTCTTCCCTGTTTCTTCTGCCCAGAAACCCTCCCATGTGACCCCTTGTGACCTATATAATGAAATGCTTTTCCTCTAATGAAAAGAGTGAAATTTTTCCTCTAATAAATTTGTCATGATTTTGCAAATAGCGCTAACAAGCAGATACATTAGTGTTAAGTAACTGCAAGAGATGTCTTGCCATCTTTATTTCATTTCACTACAAAGTTTGGTTAAGTATTTTTTTTTACTATTTCAGTAATTTAAGGTGCAGTCCTACACATATTTAGACAGAAAGAGTCTACAATGCCCTAGTCAGCTGTGCTGAGACATGCTAGAGTTTTAGAACTTTTTCCCCCTTACTAAGCTTGCATAGGATTAAGTCCTTAGATGACTAAATAACACTGTAATGGACAATGCTTTACATTCATATGTAGTTTCACCTATAGTCTTTTTAAAATCTAGTCCCTTTGGGAGAAATCCAAATAAGTGGTATTTTATGTTAAGAAAAACTTCATTAATATTTGTTAGAACTTAATAAAATGCAGATAATAAAGTAATATTTCTCAGGAAAAGGGAGAGTTTGTTTATATTTGCATGGTCCTCTTGCATAGGCAGCTATTGTGAAAGCTCACTGAGCTTTTTTGTACTACTGGGGAATAGAATGAATGCAGAGTACAACTTACATTATTAATATGGTTTTATTCAAAAAAATCTTGTGATTTCTAAATATTGAATATGCACAACATGTAATTTTGTCTGTCACCTTTAATGCAGCTATAATATGATAGCTAGAGAAACTGGTACAGTAATACATGGAAATTAACTGGAACAGATACAGTTATTTTACAAGTGCTTTTATGGTAGTGTAACTTGTTGCTCAGAATCAGTTTCATTTATTAAAACATGTTTTCTGTTGATAGAGTGAATAGTATAAGAATGAGAGAGTCTAGTTTCTAATCACTTTAACCTGTTGTTTGGTGCTCTGTCCTGCTGGCATCAGGACAGGACAGCAGGAGATGCTGACTGTTGTTTCTTGTCCACAGTATGGCACTACCTGGGACAAGGCTGTTGTTAACCCTTTTCTACGGCATGCTAATTGTTAACTGAATGATCTAGAGAACAAGTATATTTTATGCAAACTTGTTTTGGTGATTTTTAGCCTTGTCATTCGAGTAAAACTTGGATGCCTTTGTTAGGAATTGGATGCTGTTTCTGATACCACAGTGCTGTTTGTCTCACCATAAGCTAAATGACTTTATAGACTAAAATGTTGGTTTTCAAAATGCATTTATATTATGATATTTTAGGGCCAGAAAAGACACAAAGATCAGTTATTGCAGTGCTCCGTACTAAATTAGGAGCCTTCCATCTTCAGTAATAGTTTGTTAGATTATGATGGAGTTGGGAAGAGATGGGGCAAGATGTATACCATGCATTGGATCCAGACTTACTCCTACTTATAAAGTGGAGCTATGTTAGTCATGACTGATTTAAGTCTCATCGTACATGTGATCTTATGTATGACTTGGTCTGGATCTAACCTGATGCCTGTTTTACATCTAAAGTAATTAGTCTAATCAAATCAAAGCACATAATTAAAGAAGCTGCTAGATTCTGGCACATCATTCTTTCACTTTTGGGAAAAAATATCTTTTGGTAAAATATCATGATCTGAGTGCACATAGTAACAAAGTAATTTAAATAAGCCAAAAGATGATGTAATGAAAATCCCAAAATTTAGCATTTGCTATGATTAATGAAATTACTTCTACCAAAATAAGGATATATATATCCATCCAGATATCTTGCTAAATATATCATTTCCTTGAATTTGTTTCTTTCAATAGCCACAAAGGTGCTAATACTGTTGCACTGTGATATGTAACAGCCTCGTTAAAATAGTTGAGTGCTGAAACTGTTATTCTAAATTGCTTTTTCCCCTTTGTAATTTATATTCCTAGTTTTTATAAATGGGTACCCCAATCCTAATGTTGCTTGAACATTAACTTCAATTTAACCAAAACCAGTGGGTTTTATTTATATAGGAAACTGCCTTATATTGAAGGCAGTTATATATCTGCCTTATATATCTAGTCCAGTCCTGTCTACTCTATTCTGATGGGCAGCAACTCTTGAAGATATGAAGCAGCTGTCCCCAGCCTGTTATCCTCCATATAATTTGTACTTCAGCTCTTATCAGCTCCACACAGCATGGTAAATTGTCAGGAATGCTGAAAGTTGTAGTCAAAAGCATCTGGAGGGTACCATGGTTGTCTGATGTTAATTCTGCTTATACTAGGCCTGCTAAAATGAATGAGTCTTAAGTAGTGACTAATTTAAATCTCATTCGTTTTAATGAGAATATATTAAGAAGGACTAACATTGACTACATTATGAGGTGTTGCAGTGGTTAGAGTGTTAGACTGAGCATCAGAAAATCTGGGTTCCTGTCCCCACTTGACCACGAATCACACTGGGTGACTTTGGGTGGTTACTGACTCTCAGCCTATCTTACCTAACAGATCTGTTGTGAGGATAAAATGGAGAGGAGGAGAACCTTGTAAATTGCTTTGGGTTCCTTCCAAGAAGAAAAAAGACAGGATATAAAGGTAATATATATCCCCAGGTTGAAGAAGGCTGATCTATGGGAAAGAGCTTTCCCAGATCTGCTATTTGGAATGCTTTTAATTTGTTTAAAGACCTTCTCTTTCTAAAGAATGCGGAGTTTGATTTAACCATCAGCAAATTGGTCGATACTAATGTGTAACATTTTGCCACAGAGTAATAGCTTTAAGCATTCTTGAGATATTTTAAGAATTGATGTATTATCAAAATATAAGTATACATTTACAATCTTATGGATGTTAAATATGTACAGTGATTAGGCATTGAAAGTTATATCATGTAATTTTAATAAAATATTTTTAAAAATTGAATGCACTAGATTAAATGCTCATGAAGAACTCAAATATAAAATATTTGTAAACATTTTATAAGTAGCAATGTGTGATTGCATATGCTATTGCAATTTTATGCAAAAAGTAGGAAATGAACTTTGTAGATGTAGGTATGAAATGTAAGGTAACGTATTTAATATTCATTGATATGTTTTTAGAAATTTAGTAAACTGCATGTTTTAAAGTGCTCACTTTATGTTCTCAAATCTAAGAAATCCTGGTAATTTATCTTGACTGATTTCATTTATATAATTTTCTTCTTATAAAAGCCACTTCTTTTTACAATGGCTGAATGACACATTCCATATCCTCTGTGCTGCCTCTCTCTGTGATACCTTGTGCTTGGCCACCATCATGACATAGCATTTATTTAAGAAGCAGGGAATGGCCTCTGTGCATCCAAGTGATAATTTCAAGGCTCTGGTTGTTATGTCTATATTAAGCAGAAGTGGCCTGTGCTTTTCTAGCAAGTATCTACATACCTATTCTCTTTTGTGTAAAGTTTTATGAGGCTGTGGAGTGGATTGAATTGCTAGTTAGTTAGACAAAAAGGGATATTCAGGGGATCCCTGATTGGCCTTGGAATCTTTTCACTTTTCATAGTAATTGCATTAATGTCATACAATGACTTGTTTATCTTTCATTGTCACAATTTGGGATTTTGTGGCAGACATGGTCTTAGGAATAGTTGAAATAAAGAGGCTGGCACACCTGCAAAATGCACTGGTTCCAGAAACCTCAAGTGTGTTAAGATGCTAAATTGGATCGAAGGACTATGAAGACATGCCTTTTACCAGTAGCCCTTTAGATGCTATTAGATTTCATCATCCCTGACCATGGTCCATGCTGACAATGGTGATGGAAGCTTGCCCAGTAGCATCTGGAGAACCACAGGCTGCCCACTTCTGCAGTATGGGTAGTCTAAAGGCTGCAGTCATCCACTTAATCAGCCTCTGTCTCACCCTTTTATTTTGCAGTATACTACCCAACAGCCCTGCTGAGTGTAGAGAATCCCTGTAATGCAATTGCTTGCTTTATTAGATAGTTCCTGTAATACCTTATGGCTTATGCTCATCCTAGTTTAGTGACATTCTGTCCCAGCCACTTTTCAAATGCAAAACTATTTTATCTTGTGCTCTAATGAAGAAGAATAGCACCATTCTCAAGAAGTAACTAGGTGTGCAATCTTATGCATGTTTAAGCACAAAAATGGCCTTGCATGCTATCTGGGGATTGTTGGGACTTTTTTCTTTCTTTCTAAATGTATGCCCCCAAAATAATGAAGGGGGCTGTGTTCTGCCAAAAGTTGTAATGAGTCATTCCCCCAAACTATAATTTCAGTTTCTTAAATTATGTTCAGTTTTCAGTAGGATTTTAACTAGGGCACTGTATACTGAGTTGTGTTGATAAAACTAGCAACTAAGAAAGGTTTGAGTACAATGCAGTGATGAAGGTCAGAGGTTACATAAGCATACATTTAAGCATAAGTTTAAGCATAAGCATAAGCATAAGTTTATTCTAGTTTTAACAAGATTATTATAGAAGAAAACTGAACATTTATAATACTGTACACTGGAAGAAATCTGACTTAAAGAAATAGTAGTGAAAACTATCTTACAGAGAAAATGTGTTGCTTGGTTGAACCAGAGTATTTTCCTCACACTTAAAATACATCAGCTTAAATAACTGAAAATAACTGAAAGAAATAAATGAAAGAAGAGCATAGGAAAATGCTTGTTATTTTGTACTTTCCAGATGATTAAAACCTGATGGTTCACTTTAGTGCTAAACTGGTACTGGCCTGACTCTAGAATTGCTTATATGATATCTCATCCTCACATAATAGGGTGTGGGTGCAATGGCCTTGCTGAAGGAGAAATAGTCTTGCTGTGAATGGAAAGATAAGCTGCTGCTGTGGCATTATTTTTAAACATTATTTAGGTGGGGAAAGAAAGCATGGCAAATAAAATACACTGTTTTCATTTTTAGACATCCAGCCAATTTGTTTTACAAATGCTATGTGCGTCCTTAGAATTAAGTTCCTAATAAAGGCAGGATTGATGGGGTGTGGGTATCACGTTAGCAGTATCCATTTGGTGCTTGTGACATCTGTAAAGTCCCATTCTTCAGCATATTTCCAGCGAAAAGGGAAACACTCACTAGGGAAATGATTGCATTTTCTAGGGAAAATACGGTAATGTAAGTGCTGGAAAAATGTATTATCCCTGTAATGAAAGTCCCCCCATAAGAGATGAAAACTGTTCCAAGTAACCTCTACATCAGGGTTTTTGATGTCTAGAATTTAACCTAAAATGGGATTCTGTGACCAATGTTTAAAGAACCAGTTGATATGTTTGGTTAATTGGTGTTTCCTATTGCAAATGCTTTGAACTTATGTAAACAAGCATATATTTGGTAAATCAAAGGAATAATTTTACAGATAGATTCAATAGGAGAGTCTTGGCCTCTTAGAATATATTTCATTTTTAAGAAATGTTAAGCTAGTACTTTTCTTGTGCAAATCTAATTCTGTGATTTTGCAAGTATAATTGAAAATAATTTTATAATTTTGAGCACAACTATGTTGATACTTCTGAATATAAACATTCTTTCTCTGTATTTTAAGAGTTTCTCAGAACTCTTCTTTCTTTTATCAATTTCCTTTTTCTCTTTAGAGGGTTTTTAGCTTTTTATTACTAAGAAGACTTAGATATAGCTCCGGAATAGTACTTACTGATTGCCGCAACATTAGCTGGAGGACACTTCCCTCCAAACGTCTTTTATGAATTAATATTGTATTTTTTTCCAAAGTTCTAGCAGCTAAATATAAATATATGATATATACTAGGTGTAATATGTAGCCTAAATCCACAAGACATTCCCTGGTGTATTATGGTAAACATAATGCAACAGTGTAAGATAGCCTTAGTTCTAACAGATATACAGGTTTTGTACATGAATTATCTTACATCCTGTTATGCAGTGTTAGAGTTAGTTCCAAAATGAGAGAATTACATGACTCCCAAACTCTGTTGAGATGGAAATCAATGTGGGTTCTTCCACACTTGTCAAGTGACTGCAGTATGTGCCTTCCATAGCAGACTGACTTGATGAGAAGCGTATGAGGGAATTTGCCACTGTACAGATCTATTGTTAAGGGGCCAAGCCTGAAACAACTAAAAGAGCCTCCATTCTGAAGTCTTTAGCAAAAACGACTTCCTACTGGGAGGCAAGAGAGAGTAATTGAACTGGTGGCACATTCTGCCCCAACCTGACAGGTGAGTAGCATGCATAGATCTTTGCTGTACGCCTGTCTTGAACCCAGAGATGCAACCAGCCTATTTCAATGAAATAATGCATTAAAATATGAATTAGGTATTGTTAGGATGTTTTTTTTCATAAGCAGTTTTGTCACATTGAGTATAAAAACAGCTTTCATGTGACTTGGACTGAGTTTATAATCAGGATTTCCCTCTTTGTTGCTGGGCTCTTTTATCAATCTGCTGGGCTTATGCAATTATATTACTGTTCTTTATCATCAAAACAGAGGTGCATATGGTAATTTGGCAGGTGCATTTTACTAGCCTTCTGCAAGCTTTTTAAATTGAGACTTGATTTATCCTAGATATGGGCAACTGTGAATACAATTGATATATGTGGGTACATTATGGAAACATAGAAAAAGGCAGGAAATAGCACAAGGTGCATTTAAGTACTGAGAGAGTTGGAAACTGTTGACAGGATTTCATTGTGAGGTTCATCCATTTGTTTTGCTTAAGGAACTATTTTTAAACATTTAATTGTAGATAAGTATGGTGTTTATTGTGAAAATGACAAACTTACTTGTTTTGTATACTTCAGCACGCTTGACTGATATTTTTAAAGTGTATTTCCTTTGTATGTTATCTCTTTCTATTTGTGGAGTTCTTAATATATAACATTTCGGGAAATATAGTAGAAGCTAATCTGGCCATAAAATATCATTTCTTAAATATGCAAACTTTATACCATGACAGCATTTTAATTATTAATTTACTGGTTCTTACTGGGTATATAAAAAGGTTTTCTTTTAATGCAAATCTAATATATACAATAAAAGCTTTTATTCAAACATCTTCCCGAAGTGTAATATTTATATGGTTTATATGAAAACAGTAATAGATTGCTTCATTCTAGCTGGGCTAGAACTTAAATGTTAACTTATTGTGTAATGTGGAACATAGGCTTCTTTAGAATTATTTTGATGAAAGAAAAAATACCGGTGTATTTCCCTCAATCCCTTCAACTGTGCGTGTAAAATATAACATGCACACACAAGTACTTAAGTATCATATATGAACTGCATAATATTTTGAATGCTTTATTGTTACAGTTGTCACTACCCTTTACTATTTCCCCAAGTACAAAAATCAAGGAATTTTATATTATTTTGTATCAGCATTGTTAACATTGGCAAGTATTTGTGTAAACTTTAATGAAGATGCATGCTTTTTACACGTCTTTTAATTTGCTCGCTCTTGACCATTCCTGAATGAGTTGTATCAACTTCTGAAAGAAGCAACTTCAAATTTGCATTTGTTGAAAAAGTATATTATCTTAAGTCTTAAGCTGAAATGTTTGATGTGTGGATTTAAATTTTACAAGCACTAAGGGCTTACATCGTGTATATGTTCTGATATATTTGTTCTACCCTCAACAAATAAACTTGTCTTGTGTAGAAAACAGTTCTACATGTGCCATTAATTTCATTTTGATGGTGTGTTGTTCTTTATAGTGCACACTTGCCAAAATCGTAGCATGCTTGACACTTGGAAGGGAAATAATTGTATAATCTTAGAATGTGGGTCCTGGCTGAACAGCTACAAAATAGAATGGGAATGTTGATGCATCCTGCATAATGGGCATTTCCCTTCACCTTCCACTTTTTCTCTCAAGCCTCTTTCCGTAACTTCCTCTTGAAAAGTAGTAGCTTTCTTATCAGACCATTGGCCCAACTGCCCTAGTATGTTAGCACTGACTGGAGGAAGTTCCCTAGGGTTTCAGACAGGATTCTTTCCTAGCCCTATCTGCAGACAGCAGAGACAGAACCTGAGACTCTCTGCATGCACTACCACCAAACTGAGGCCTCCTTTCCTGTGCTATGGTTTCTGGATGTGTTTGCTGCACAGACCTTAGAGAAAATGTAGCAGTTAAGGGAAAGGGCAGTACCTATCTTAGGTTTCTTCACTTTGGATCACTGATGGACCCCAGAGTCTCTAGGGACATCAATTATTGCCTGCATATTTTGAATAGTAGGTCATATTCTGACCTACTCCAATATGAATTATGACCACAATGGGAGCTAAACTCCAAGCACTTGCAGAGTTACGCATACGGCAGAGTCATCATCTGCACATCTCTTGCTGGTGTATAAGTACAGTAGTACCTCAGTTCACGAATGCCTCTGTTCGCGAACAATTCAGAAAGTTTGGCAAAACACATCAGGTGATGAACACTTCCCCACAGCACTTCCCGTGGCTTTCTTGAGATATCCTATCCAGGAGAGGGAGCAGGAGCGGGAAGCCAGAGAGGCGGGCGCAGGGCAGCTCCCCGAGCCGGGAGAGGGCTACAAGGAGGGAGGTAATGGCTTTCCGTGGGCCGAGGCAAGGGGAGGTGAGGGATGGGGCCACAGCCAGCCAAGTGGGGTGCCTCCCACCTCTCCCCGCCATGTGGGGAAGCAGCATGGCGGTCACTTGACAGCGGCGGCAGCGTGCCCTGAGAAGGCCATGGTAGAGGCACGGGAGCCACAGCCCCCCTCCCACTCTGCTTTGGCCCATCTGCTCCAGGGCTTGGCAAGGCGCCCTGGGGACATGGTTCATATTTTTGTGATTTAAAAAAAATGGATTAACCTTACTACATTGAACATACGGAAATTTGATTTGGTTTGTGACTAATTCGGTTCACAACCAGAATCGTGGAACTAATTAAGTTAGTGAAGCAACGTACCACTGTAGTTTTATACATTTCCTATGCTGAGCACTGTCTCCTGTGAAATACAGGGTGTCCCCAAAAAATTGACATTACTTCATAGTCTAATTACAGCCAATTCTCACTCAAATGATCTCAAATTTTAACAAAATGTGTAAAAACTAACTAATGTTAGTTATGCAACATTATGCAAGAAATGCTGCAGCGTGTTGGGCAGGAGGTGGACTAACGACTTGATGTGTGTCATGTCACAGGCGGTGCGTATATTGAACACTTGTGAAGCTTTGTGAAATTGGTTATAAAATCTACATCCCTTTGAATCTCTTTTTCAAATTCGGATCTTTTATTGTTCAACATGAAGCCTATTTAATTTCATTTGCCTAGGACATGTAGTTACTCAGATATTCACATTTCAAAAAATGTCAATTTTTTGGGACACCCTGTATATAGACTGAGTTTGGACTAGAAGCCATGGAGCCTATCTGTGAGAGCTAGCTTGAATAGTCAACGTTTACTTAGTTGTCATGTGCAAACCTGGGTGAACATGAGTTATGCAAGGGCTAAAGATCCTTTAGATAATCCTAAAACTGACTTTTCATGGCTTATCTAACTTGCAAAATGGATGCCATGCAAGTAGTTTGAACTACCTGAACATTCCAATAGGCCATTTATAAAGATACCTTGAAGCAGTTTATTTCTAAAATGCAAAACATCCACAGTTAACACCAGAAAGGACAAAAATCTCAGTTAAAACAAAATAACAGATTCAAAACATGACAAATTGGAGAACTACAAACAAACTAGATAATATGATTAAGAAACACTTGGGTGAAAAGTTAGGTCTTTAACTGGTACCTAAAACATGTCCAGTTGATACCTCCCTCATATCAAGGACTAGCAGAAATGTTTCTGTGGTGCTGTGATGGAGAAAGCCTGCTTTATGATGGTTCCCAGATGGCAATCTGCAACTTATCTTAAACCCAGCAAGGTCATGCCAGATTATCTGAGTGATTGAATATGTCTGGATCAGAAAAGGTATTCTACCACATAGCCTGTTCTGAAGTTGGACAACAACATGCCAGCAACACCATCTTCGACACGGGTTTGCTGGCTAACAGGCAACTGGTGCAGTTGCTTGTACAGACAGGCATCCCAGTTAGCATTCTGGCTGCTGCATTCTTATATCAGCTACAGCTTCTGGACCAAACACAAGGGGAGCTTCACATAAAGTGACTATATTAATCTAAATTTGAAGTTTTCAGTGTATGGACGTCAGTGGCCAGGCTATCCCTCTCATCTATTGGAAAGCACATACTTAATTCATTACAGCAATTAATGATGAATCCAGGAGAATCCCCAGGCTACATACTTGTACTTTCTGAAGCAGTGCAACCTCATCTAGAACAGGCAAACTCCCAATTTCTTGTAGCTAGGAACCACCCACAGTTTTATGGGGTTGAGTTTCAGTATCCTTGCTCTCAACCAACCCATCACTGTTACCCTACACTGGATAAGATCATGCATGTCTTGTCTGATTCAGATGTAACAAAGAAATAGGACTGGATGGACCTAAATCTGCTAAAATGAATGCAGTGGTTTCATACAAATGTTAAAGAGCATTCGGGACAAGATGGTTTCTTGTGGTACCTCACAGTACAGCTGCAACAGTGCTAAGACACCAAATGCTACTTGGGCTATAACACCAGTTTGGTAAGCAACCTGGGAGAAATGTTTATCTTGGCAGCTTGCAATAGCTCTTTTGTGAAAAGAACTTAAAGTACTTGCAGTGCTAGTTCTGTTTATCATTCTAACTGAATAAAGACATTGAGTCATAACTCAGCTAAAAATGGGATAATGAAAATATCCCATTTTTACAGCAAGTCAGCTTTAGACTCTGTATATTCCACTTACATGCAGTAAGATACTTTAGGGCAGTGATGGCAAACCTTTTAGAGAACGAGTGCCCACACTCAACACCCAAGTATTTATCACAAAGTGCCAACACTGCATTAAAACCTGAATACTGAGGTTTTAGTTTAGAAAAAAAACCTCACAGCCAGTCCAAGCAAAAAATCTTTCTCTCTCTCTCTCCTTGGCAGCGCACTGACTGGCCATGTGAAAGCTTGGAAGAGTCTTGGCTAATGAGTTGCGGCTTGCGATGTCATCACCTGGCACCACTACTCCTTTCCGAGCATGCACATGGCCCCTATTATCTGATGCTTGGCTTCTGGGGTGATGCTGGGGCGATTTGGCTCACGTGCCAACAGAGAGGGCTCTGCATGCCCGCTGTGGCACGCATGCCATAGGTTCACCACCACTGCTTTAGGGCCTGTTCACAGGAATTCCAAGGAAGATTCTTGCATATGGATATTCACCAATTTTATGTACATCACATTTATCCTGAAGGGCATAAAATAAGGAAAAGAGTAAAGCAAATATTTGTACAATTGTATACTTATACCTAGATCACATGCAAATCTGTGTAGACTCTCATATTGTGCAGGTAGAGGATTAGCACTTCTAAAACTAACTGAACTGGCTCCTAGAGATGGTCTTTCACTTATGGTCTGTCATTCTTTTCTTAGGATTTGGAAGACAATACGATTTTTTAGACATGTGAAAATACCCTGCTGTGCTTACATTATGCATAATGCACATTTACATCATGTTGTGTTGTACTTCCAGCTGGGGCAAATGCATAACTCAGGAAGTATCTGCTAAAATTCAACCATCTCCCCAAACTGTTCAATACTACACTTATGTGTTTAAGCTTTTGTATACTAGTGGCCCCTATAAACCCTGTTCAACGAAAGCACTGATGACTTTTCTCTCTGCAACACTATGTGCATGCTACTTTGGAACTTGGTGTGTACCTGTGCTTAGTGGTTTTTCTATGTGCTTGTTTTTCCAAGGGTGGCAAGGCTCTTCAGTATTGGAAAAAATATATGTAAACTTACTTTGTTTGAAGACCTGCATTTGTAGCATGGAAAGTAAACAGTTAAACCAAACCCACCCACACCCAATTCTGGCAACAAGTCTGTCCCACTGTAGTGAGATTTCCTCTTCCATTGCATGTCTGATGAGATCAGCATTCATATCAAGCCTAGCACAAGAGGAACACTATGGTAGAGGTCACTCTGATTTAGGAGGGAAAAAAAATAATCAGCCCCTTAATTTAAAGGGATAGCTGCTCTAATTGAGTGCTTTCTCTGAAAACAGCGAAGTGCCTATGGGTACTTTAAAAACAAGATTTTTTTCTAGGCTCAGGCCTCCCTCATCAGATGAATACATCAGATGAAATTGAAAGGTATATATGTGTGTGTGTGCATGCATGTGTGTGTGTATGAGAGGAGATAAGCCGTCCTGAGACATTCTGTAGGGGACAGAATAGAAAAGAAATATATGGAATATATTATAATAGAAATATATGGAATGCGCTCCCCAGAGAGGTCCACCTGGCGCCATCGTTATTTGATTTTCGGCGCCAGGCGAAGACCTTTTTATTCAAATGTTATTTTAATTGTTGAATTTATTTACTGATTTTATATTTATGCCTGGATGTCTCCAGATTTTTATGTATTTGTATAGCTATTTATTTGTGTTGGAAGCTGCCCTGAGGCTTTTGCGAATGGGGCGGCATATAAGTGTTCCAAATAAATAAAATAAAGGAGAGAGGGAAACTTTTCCCTCAGAGTGAACCACAGCTCAAGAAAATGCAAGAAGTAACAGGCTGGTAAGTCATGTAATTCAGTATAAT